CAGTTTTATTCATTTATTTATTTTAGGCAAAGTTTATGTTGGTGTTGATAGTCTGAGAGTTGACATGTGTTTAAGAACAAAAAAACACCTGGGGCTTCAGCAACTGAGTCACAAAGTTGAGAGGAAGAAGGCTTAACACTCTCATCCCGGTTTTCCCTCTGTCTGCTCCTTATAACAAATAATGTTTATTTTGGAGTCAGAGGCAAAGTCCTGGTCGGCCAGAATTTCTTTGTTGTGGCTTTGTTAGCAAAGACATGCAGATCTGCTGGTATTGATGAATCATGTGTTCATCATCAGAGGTTACTAGCAGTTCATCACACTTTCCCCTTGTGATGTTTGACTATCAAAAGGTTTATCAGGGATTCCTCATTATTAAAGTGATAATTTATCTCTGATTCACAGGTTTGAAAAGGTATATTATTTTTCAAAGGTGCCATGTACAGAGTTCAAGGAGAGATCTCCCTGAAGGTATTTGGCAGCTGTAGCAAGCTGAACTCCAGTTTTACTCTTGTCTCTTTCACTCCCTTTACACAGCATGCAAAAACACTATAATATCACTTGTTAGAGAAGTGTACCACCATTTTTCTTAGTTTTGTTTCAACTCACAGAGACATTTACACAGATCAGCCACGAAATGTACTGTCCCAGACATTTGTGCAGACCACCATGCACCTATGGCAGCAGGCTCCCTCTGTGCTACAGTACGCCCAGCATATCTGTTCAAAGACAACTCAAGGAGTACAAACGAGAGCTGAAGCTTCAAACTCTACTGATCCCGTTCTGTTCAAACATTGTTTCGGAACAAGCATGATCCACCAAGGCCCCCCCACCTCCACTTTTCTCCCACTGCAGCTCACAGTACCCAAAAGATTTGGTGCCAGTGCCCTTGTGTCAGACACAACAATACAATTGCAGAGGTCCTTTGTTTATGTCCGCTACGGGTCAAAGAACTTTTGATGGCACGAAGGAGACCTAAACAATAGTAGACAAGTCCTGTTAATCCTGTGGCTGTGAATATTGTACAGTTGTTTGCTTTATATGCATGTTGTTGCAAAAAAAATTTTATGTCCGTGACAGCATTTCTTTTTTTTAAATCAGTTCATCATCTGTAGCATTGTCATTTAGATTACATATATGCAATGCAAAAATAAGACTGCTACTTGGTCACTTATTTTGAGATCTCATAAGAGTGGGAGGATATTTGTTAGATGGATGTTTACACCAGGTGAATTATCAATAGGATTCATGTAGGTTATAGTCTCAATACATTAATTCAACTAACAATCAACTACTGCCATCTTTAAAGCCTTGTACACTGCGTTAATCTGACCTGGCAATACATTTCCAGGTACTGCACACTTTTAATGCCATTCTTTTGGTTACATGTCTGCCGTAGCTGGTTTGTTGCTTTACGATTTAAATCCAGCTGTTACTTCACAGTCTGAGTCATTTGCATAAGAGAAAACTTGGCACAGGCAAACAGGCAGAAACCAAATCTATTCTTTTCTGCAAGAAGTATCTTTTTACCCTTACCTTCTGCCTGCAACAATGTATTTTTTTTTTAAATTAAAGACTGGCAATAGGATTGCAGTGTTACTGTACTTAAGTTGATACTAAAATACACAGAAATACTGCACACTAACATGAGCCATATTGACAGAGAAAAGCGTAAATTCTGAGATTGTTTTTCTTTAAATCAGTTATACCAAAAAAAAAGAAAAAAAAAGAGAGACAGAGAACATATTTTCTCACAAGCACAAAGGGAGAGTGTTCTGAGTGGAGTGCATTGCAAATTCCATTTCCTCATAAGGGAAGTCACCTTTTAGAGGGGCCACTGCTGCTCTGAACACATCAAGAGGAAACAAACATGGCATATCATTGACTTTTAATGATTTCATTCACAGTGTCTGTAGAAAATGCACTGCATCTCAACTCTTTACTGACTTTTCAGTAAATTATGTATTCGTTGATTCCTCTTGGTTTAAACTGTTAGCGCTTCTCCTGGCGGTGCCATCTTTGTTTTTTCATATGTAAAGTAACTTAGACAGCTCTTCCTGTCTACTGGATATTGATAGTGCAGCAGTAGTACTCTAAGAAAAACAATAAATGAAAGGCTGTCTCCCTTACTCGTGATGGCTGCAGCAACAAGTACCAGACACATGCACAGAAGTCACCTAGAAGTACTTTGAGGGGATATATTAGTAGAAGAGTCAGTGCTCCTCCTGCATTGTCTGAAACTACAATTAATGCATTGCTTATTTTGAAAATCTGGAAATATTTCACTAGCTAGCTGCTGTTTGTTAACTGTATTCACAACTTTATTGTGGAGCTCAGTGTGTTTCTTGCTCCTGTATAAAATAAATGAATAATCTACGCATCAGCCGACCGAAGTGCAGAGTATGCAGATAAACCCAGCTGTTAAATGTGTCGAGGAGTTAAAAATTACTGAAAGCTGGTGTCCAGTGGCAGTACTCATTCATCACTGGAAATACCCAAGCTATGTTTGCGTGCACTTGTTTCTTTGAGAACAAATGTGGATGTAGGCTAAATATAAGTTATTGTCCGGTCTGTGCTATTTCTGTTTATTTAGGACAAATAGCTGATTGATAATGCCCCTGGCTTAAATCCTCATCTGTGCTCTTGTATCATCCCTTGGCAAATATGGCACTGCAACTTGAATGTGGAAGCATTTTCTGTTAGTAAGACAAACCGCTGGCTTGCACAGCATTGCCTCTTTTGTAACTGTACTTAGTCACTGAGGAGAATGGCACAGACCCAATCCAAGTGTCTTTCATCTGGCCAATTCAAACAGACGTTTGACCCCAGACATTTGCCTAATGTGTTTTTGTTATGTGGACTCCTGGCTTCACAAATGTCACAGTGGTTGGACTAGTGGGGGTTTGGTAAGTGAGTCAGAGAGGAGGACAGAGTTTGCCTGGAGGGGTGGGTTTGAGAGGCAGCAGTTATGTCTATAATGTCTGCATTTTGCACTCTAACCAATTGGGAGTTGGTTGGTGGTGAACATAAGTTCCACTGATGACCTGCCCCCCCCCTCGCCTCCTTGCAGGCCAGACCCACTCCAAGCCTGTTGATCAGTGGCCTGGCCTCTAGTGCTTTGCTGACCCGGGCAGCTGGGGAAGAGACGGGGAGTGCCACATTTCTGGCCGCCTGGGTTGCACAAGTCAGAAGTCTGTCCGAGACAGTTGGGGCAACCCTGACAAATGCTGCCATTAAAGGGGTGGTGAAAATTTATTACCAAACATATTGGTATTTTAGGGTGCAGCTAATTTAGATTTAGTAGTGTTGCTGTGAGGCTGTATAGTTAAACCAGAATGCTAGAGAAATTCTAAAGTCTTACTCTTCATTATCACAACAGTTATTAATATCTGCTAAACCTACTGAGGAAGAACCCTCTTTACACTCAGATTTGTTTCTGTGCTTGATTGCAAATTTTAAAATGATGTGACAGCTATAAGCAGATTCCACAATTTGTTATATCAAGTGAAAATGTGCTTTTGTGTGCATTGCCAAAGAATTGCTGCTGAATGACAAAAATGTGCCACTTCAATATGTTTTGATTCCTTTTTCTGATTGTTATTGCATTTGCGGGGAAGGCAGTTATCCACTGTGTAACTTTTTTACATTAAATTATGAAACTTTTTTGGGTTTTGGTAAAAGCTGATGGCGAACGAGGGCCTTCTATTGTAAGTCGATTTCAGACTACTAAGGCTTGGCAAAATTATATCGATAAAAAAGACAAGCGACTGCAGAGGGTGAAATTGTTTTTCCCTGCTTTCATAATGGAGCCGTTTATGAGTAACATGAGCACAATAAAGAAACAAATACAAAAATAGCCGTTTCATAATTTTTTTAAAATTATATTTCAATGCTATTATGAAGGGTTGTTAGGGTATAAACAGCTTAGATAAAGTGTACCTATTTCGTGGTTAATAATTTCTCCGTAAAGCCATGCAAGATCAATTTTCAATGCAAACTTTGTTTCTAATATGGACAGCAACATATAGATCACATTCATGACTAGAATCAGCAGTTTAGAATATATCCGTCTCTAAAATTTTATAGCCTTATATTTCAGTGTTTTTAGCTTTAGAGATTGTGATAAGAGCAAACTATAGATCATACTGTCATAGCATACCATTGGGTTGCACGAGCATTAAAGCTGGAGAACATGTTGATGTTCCTACTCATCAGTTCGTAATTACATAAGTTCCCAGTATTCATAGGTTGGACTATACTCTTCTTTAATCTAGTTTTTGTTCTTGTACAGACATCTATAAAATGTTTCACTGAATTTTGCAAAATATGTCCACTGAAAGATGAAAACAACATCAATTACACAAATAGGTATGGTAAAGCTTTTTCTTGCATGTTCATATATGTTAATGTCAGCTGCAAAATGTGTGTCTATATTTGCAAGGAAAGTTAGGTCATTGTTAAGCCAAATTCCAAGAGAGATAAATCAAAAATCCACATTTCACTTACTTATTAGAACAAATGTTCTATTAAAGATTTCTTTATCTTTCAGCAGGACGTATATTATGTATGTAATGCCCACAGTGATAGCTTACTTCCAGCCCTAGCAATGTCTTATTCTGAGTAATAGGTCTCTGAAGTGTGCTTGTTTGGCTTTTTTGGGGCCATTGGAGACCAATAAAGTATCTGTCTGAGGATTTTCAGGGTTCCTTATAGACTTTCCCCAGGTGTGCTTCACTGGTCATAAACTACACTTGTCTCTTATGGCGTATTCATGGACAAATGTGTCCATGGAGAGTTTTTAACTACATGCCAGTTAGCAAGCACCGGGGCAACTACAAAATATAGTAACTGCTTTTGTAAAATTCTTAAATCTGAATAAGATTGAGTTAAATAGAATATGCATATAACATATATATATATAGGGTTCCAATATATATATATATATATATATATATATATATATATATATATATATATAGTGTGTGTGTGTGTGTGTTTTTCTTAAATGGTATTTTCTCATAATTCAAAACATGTTTCTTGTGTTTTATTTGGAATCAAGATGACTGCAGCACTAAGGTCACTCTGTTCATTTAATTTTGTGACGTCCACTGAGGTTAACCATTTCCTTTGTTCCTTGCTTTCTGGAGAAAAGTGCTAGTGTATTTTCATGTCGAGGTATGCTGTGTTTACTTTTATCGCTGCTCCTCAGCGAGCCAATCCAACCTGATGTTTGTTTATAAGGAATTCAGGCTTCACTAAGAACTTTCATTCACCACTTGAAAGCACTTGAGTTGCTACTAATTTACCTTGAGGGATTTCAAAATTATCTGTCTGCACTGTCAAAATCTTTTTTGTGGTGGCAGCTTATCATCATCAAAGATTCTCTTTGGATTTAATGAAAAGCCTGTTAGATGGGCAAATGTTATATTCTGTTTACTTGAATACTGGATGCAGAAAGACATTTTGAAATGTGTTAACATGTTTTTGGTCATCAAAACGACATTGGTTTGCTTTTTGTTTTTGCTTCGAGTGCTGGAGTTGTCATTGTTGCTAGGAAAGTTGCTTTTAAGTCTACTATTACAGAGTTCAGAAGAAAATCCATGCACTCGAAGAGAGAAGGAGTGGAATGGTATTGAAAGTGATCTTGTATTTCCCTTGGTCATCAGACTACTCTTTCTTTACCAAGGATATGTCGCTCTGTGTTGCTTTGTTTTGAACAGGAAACTTTACACATTGAACAGCTCAGGAATATCCAGCAACTAGCACTTACCAAGCTCCCTGACAAATTGCGATCCGGCAAACTTCACGTCACACTTGGGTCAGGGGCAAAGTTAGGAGTGGGAGGTTTGTATAGTTAAGGGGTTTTTTTGTATTTTCTCCATAGTTAAAAGGTGAACACTTCACCCGGTAATGTCTGTATAAATATATAAAACTGTTATTTTATCCAAAGTTATCCCAAGTTCAGATTTCTCTTCTTGGGGGATGGTTTTGAATGTAATGCTTTGCTGAGACGTATGTCAAAAAAGGAACTTGATATTCCAACGTGTGACATTGTGCAAACACTCTAGTAGTTCTACCCAAACAAGTTTGCAGCATATGCATATGAAAATATTGCAACTGTGTCACCGGGGTGTTAGCATTTTGTTTCATCTGGACCACTTGATCCCTTGTCACACCGTTCCTGCTCCCTTCACACTGTTTATATATTCTTTGTCAAGTTAGGTAAACTCACTTTACTGAGATGTTCTCCTTTGTGGAACAACAGAGTAAAAAAATTGCCACAATTACTTGAGTTAGATCTATGTTAACTCTTAATTCTTTATCTGAAAAACTGCATCAGCCAGTTGGAATTGAAGTCTCTCTTTCCATGTGTGCAAGAAGCTGAGTGGATAACCTATTGGCAGTGGAGGACAGTGCAGATCTCTCCTCACTCTAAATTGCAGTTAGGCATCCCTGCAGCCCCTCATGAAGACCATTGAGTCCCATCAAGATAATCCTTAATAAAGAACGGCTTCGCATTTAATCTTAGCTCTCTTCTCAAATTTCTTACTTGATATAGTTTTTGGCAAGTGGTGTTTTAGCGCTGATGTCAGTCGAATAGTATCAGTGCATCTTTTGTTAAGCTTCCATCTGGCAGATGTAGAGGCACTCTTAGTTTTTACAGTTCCACAAACGATTACTTTATTGCTCTAATCTGCAAGGTTTTTTTTTACTTTGAATATGTTGAGTCCCCCTAACTGCGATAGTGTATCGTTGCTCTTTTTGATTCTGTGCAAAACTTCAGTTTTAAAACTCATAATATTGACAATTCACTTCGAAGTTCAATCTGCTATTTTCCGTAAGATAATTTTCATTTATTGACCTTAAATTTAATACTGCTAGATTGATTGAAACTTCGATTCACAACATTCAGATGCAGGATGCATGCAAGAGTGTAAGAGGAAAATCTGAGTTTACTCAATGAGACATAAACAACTCTGGATAATTATACTGTACAATTTGAAAATAACTCACTTGCAAAATTACATCTCAATCTAATTTTACACAGCCACTTAAAACAGAGAGTCACTGAATGAATGTAGTATCTTAATTGGCATGTGTACCCGTCTGCTATTAGAACTAGTTACTTGAGAGCCCCCAAGCATCTATTAGTCAATTTAGCTATTAAGAATCTGTTCAATGTGCAATATATTTCGTGATCTGATATTGCAATGTGATCCTGTGGATTTACCTGTGGGCTGAGGGTTTGGAAAGGCAGGCAGCGCTTGCATTTCAGGCACGTCCACATTATTACTGCACTGTGTTTAAATCAGGAGTAGTGCAGCCCGGATCTATTTCTGTCAGCTCCTCGTTGACTACTGCTACACAGAGGCCGGTTGGTGGCGACCTGCTTTCAGTATGGGCCTTGAACACTACAGCTGATCAGGTGCAAACTGATTAACTCATTTTCATTAATATTAAATAAATACTATCATAATCATATAGATTTGAACGTGCTCTTTCGGTGACATGTGTGACATTATTTAATTTCTTATCATCACCAACTGACTGGGAGTTAACAAGATCTTCAAGTAGCACACAAAAAGCCCAGCCACTAACACAGCACGCTATTCTTCTGGCAGTGGGTGTTCTTTTTCTCTCACCACCTCTTTACCATAGTAAATGTATGGTTTCCTCTTTCTTGGTAATCATTTGTCAGTACTACAGTTGGTATTTAACCCACAGCTTTATTTTGTGGAAATTAAACATATTTTAAACGGTTCATTGATATCTCAGCCATTATTTACACAGACTTGATATTCTTGAAAAAAAAAAATGTCATGACACATTGAAGCAAAATCTGTACACGCCTCATCACCAGCCTGAATAAATCACCAGTTCAAGCTCATCAGTAGCAGCGTGGCCTTGTGTTGCTGCTTTGCGCAGTTGAAATAATAACCTGGAGCAGACAGAAGGCAGTCATTACCTTGCACACAGATGCCGTGTGTATGTGTTGACGGAGGACTTCCACTAGAGTGCTGTGGAGATGAACAGAGCCGAGTTTCTTGGCCGCTTTTAAAACCTCTGGCTTCCCATCACCTTAGCTAATGACCTAGCCCCTTGTTTACTCTCTGAAGTCCTTCTGTGACAGAAAGAAATCCAGCAATGACCCAAGGCTCACAGGAGAAAGAAAAAAATGTGGTTTGTGGTGGCAAAAAAAGAGCATAACAAAAACAACAGAGAAAGGGGGGAGAAGAAAAGTGTGAGCCCTGAGGGTTGTGAGCAGAGCAGTGGACAGACAGGGCAGTGGAGAGATCAGCCTTTTCATTGTCTTAGTCTCCACTGATACAATCTGGAGAGGACTCTATTGCTTAAAGCTTTGAGTTAATGACATATGGGAAGCTGGTGTGAGGCACAACTCCCCCGTGCCTCCTCCAGACCCAAAGTCTTCCTGTGAGAGCACCGAGCAACTTTTCTGCTTTTTCAAACGGCAGCAGCCTCCCTCTCCTTCCCTCATTCACTGCCTTTTTTTCCTCCCTCCCTCCCTCTCCCTTGCTCTCGCTCACTCTCTCTCTCTTTTTTTCCCTCTTCCTCAGACACTCACTAGTCACTGCCTGAAGCAGTAATCGGACAACTCTCTTTCTCAATGGGACTGAGTCTCCTGAGATACCGCGTGGGGCTCAATGGGTTCCAACACCTAAAATGAAAAAGAAAAAAGTAGTTTTGTAGTTTACATTTATTGTGCTACAGGTTCTACGGACAGCTGAGACGTGTTTTAGAAAGTTTGCCACCCGCTCTGCTGGACTGAACGATCTTTCTCAAGAAGATTTTTTTTTTAAGGAAGATAAAGAAGGGATAAACACACAGTGATTCAACCATAATTCTAGTGAGTATGACTTTAATTTCTGTGCGATAATTATTTGACATTCTGGTTTACTAACTGTCTTGACATGATCAGTATTTCTTGAGTCTTATAGTGTGTGTGAAAGTTTGTCTTATTTCATACATTTCTGTCAGTGTTTAAGCAAGCATATAATACTCAATTAAAGCATTAATGTCAGCAGAAAGAGTGACAATTATGACTGACATTATCTTTTAAAACAGCACCTATGACAACCCTTATTTTTGCAATTTAAGAAATGTAATACTTGAGTGCATCTTACAAAAATAATGGTAAACAAACTCAAAAGGAAGGCTTTAAATTTCACGCGGTAGCTGCAGTTTATTAATGATAAAGATAGATAGCAAAAGTATTTAATTATATTTTACGTTAGTAAATCCAGCTAATATAAAATTAAAAAATTACACAAAATCATACACTAAACTCTGTTTTTATACTACATACAGTCCGGCTGAGTTTTACAAGTTTCCAGTCAAATATGTCTACAAAAATAATAATTTATTGATGTAAATTACCAGTGTAAAACAGATATAATTTTTTTATAGTCATTAAAAAAATCGAAGTTAATTTTTTGACCTTCGAGTAAAAATATATTTGAATTTTTTTTAGAAAGCCCAATGACTTTAGTGGCATTCAAAATAATACAAAGACTGTAAATACATCAAAATTCACATTTGAAATATGGGAGCCTCTTTTTTATTTTCTTCCTTAACACACTACATTTTGTTGAAGTGTGGGAAAGATGCTGGACTGTCGTAGTTCCTTTTTTTTTTGTTACTGGCGGAACAAACAAAATGAGCACAGTCAAAGCAGTTGACATCTAATGCCATCTGCTGAAGCGAGGAATGTTGCAAGACCTGAGAGGCTCACAGCCTCTAAACACGACAACAGACCCCACTTCTCGGCCGTGCTGCGTCTCTGCTCGCCAGTGTTTCACATGTAGCGAAGATGACTCACCCACTGTAATCACTAGCCTCTCTAATTGAAGGATGTTCTGGTTTAATGTTCTGCGTATGATCACAGGCTTACATCTCAAGTCGAGGAATTATTGTATGGTGTGTGTGTGTGTGTGTGTCCGTGTGAAGCGCATTTCATCTTTCTGAAATTTTTTTTCTTTTTCATCCTCTAATTCTTGCCATTTTCAAACGCCTGCCCTTTTTTGGAGTTTAGAAAAGGTGTGTGCTGATGAAAGAGAGGAAATAGAGAGGTTAGGATCGCCTAGTGAGCCTCCGCTCTATGTAGACAAACATGACAGTGTGTTTGACTGCCTGCTGCAGCCATTCATTCACACAATAACCGTATTTATCCAATTAACAGATAATGAGCAGGCTGATTTGGGGCTGTTTACACTGTGTATTTGCTTTACACAGAGAGAGATCAGGGTCTCTCTGCCTGGCTGCAGTGCTTCATGCATGTGTAGAAGCAGTGTTTATAAGCAGGAGTGGTCAGCGGTGATGGTGGCATTGTTTGCCCAAGGACTGATGCCTTCCGTATGGATGTGTCTAGCCGGCCAAGCTCTCATCCTCTTCTCTCAGAGAGGAGATTGAAAATGGTGAAAGACACAGACGGCTAATTGATCGAGCCTCATTCAACTGTTAGGGAGGAAGATGGAGGGGTGGAAGAGAACTCGAGAGAAGGAAGAAGGTAATAGGAAAGCACCTATTAAGTAGCCCATGCTGGGCATTTAGTGGAAAGGGGTTGTTTACTAAATACTGTGGGGTGTTGTTTTGTTAACACACCCCTGTTTAGATCTGGAATATGTGGTTGAAAGAGCAGGAAATGAGTGCTCCCAGCCTTTTCTAAGCTTTCCTGATGATTGCTATTGCAGGTCCTCAACCACTAATACCCACTTTCGTGCCTTTTGTGTGTAAAGGGCAATATGTTTATGCCGAGTCAGAATAAAAAGCAAGGTGCTGAGAAAATGTATTTCATTTCAACTGCATTGCACAGAATTAATTTAATTTATTTATGTTTTGATTTTTATAAAAAAGATATTGCTAAAACTACTTTGCAACCTTTGGCGTTGTCAATTTGAAGTCTATTTAAAATGTGTATTGTTTCCTATTCTGTGCAAGTACTAATTTTTCTCAGTATAACAAATTGCTTTTTCAGGATTGAGAAAATTAGAACGACGAGTATTAAAGCTTCATAATCATTCCGATTTGTCCCTGGACTTTCTTTCACCTTTTTCTCGTAAAGCCTCTCTCATTCTGCAGTGGTCACGGTGGTAGGCAGGTTGTGATAAAATGTCCACCTTAAATCTTGTTTGATGGCCCCTCAAAGGCAAAGTGGCCTTCTGGAAATAATTTTGAGGGTTGAAGAGCACAGTATTAACAGATTTAATGTAGCCATTGAGCGAATTGCTGGAGCACAATGTCATATTGAACCAAATGAGAGCGACAAATTGCACATCAACAAACAGCACATCTGTTAATAATTGTGCTTTTAATTGTAGACAAGTACAAAATTTAAAATTGCATGTCAAGCACCATGCGCTTTCAATTGTCACTGCACGTCGCACGCAGTGCTAAAATATAAAGAATACTCCTCCATTATATGTATGCATTAAAAAAAACAAAGTAATTTATTATATTTTAAGTAATAATAATAATTATCTTTAGATTTGTTTTTTAATAAGATATATGGGCCATGATGAAGTCGTAATAAATAAAACAACAGAAATAGTTTTTCTTGTAAACAAAAAAAGGATATTAAAAATACAACAGTATTGAACTTCACTTGTCACTTCATTTTATCAGAAATGTGCAGTGCTTATGTAAAATTAATAACACTGACAGGGTGAAAAAGCACCAGTGTATTTAATGTTGCATTTGTTGGCAGCCGACTTTTTTTTTTTTGGCCTCGTATGGAGACACAAGTGAAGTGTAGCATTTTGTAAACTGTGCCTAATTCCACTCACATCTGTGTCCAATTGTTGTCCGCATCTACATTCTTTGCGAGTGGATTTATTTTTCCTGGGCCACCATGTGGATTCAGCTGACCAGCTTAAGTGGGGATTAGTTGTTTTAAAGTTAGATTTTGATTAAAGCATTGTTTTGCAAAAGTTGTAACACACAACACATGGCTTATATACTCTGTAAAATACAAAAGACTTTGTGCAGATTATAAGATAAATATGTATTAGAAATGACAAAGGGGGTATTGACTGAAAAATGCCAGTTTTTACTTGTCTTATGCATTTTTTAAATTTGCATTAACATCTTAAAATACTAAACAAATAACAATTTTTATGTCGGTGCATATATGAAAATAAGCAACCCTTGCTTGTATAATAACAGGTATATGCAGCAAAGAAGAAGAAACAGTGTGTGCCTGGTCAGGCACCCTGCATGCTCAGATGATCTAGCTAAAAGCTTGGCTGTAGCTATATTTATCTTTGGAAATGCAGGTCTTGAAATAAGTAAAGCGTAGCAAAAAAAAAAAAAAGCCTGCTAACGGCTCTGAATGAAGCATGTTGTGGCACTTCTTTTTTTTTTTTCTTTCTTTTGATGACACTTCCAACGCTTCATCTAGTCAGGCTTTGTTCTTGTTAGCTTCAAAGACCTGGCAGTTCAGGTTGAAGTAAAGAAGCACATCAAAGATGCTAAATGCAGACCTTTTTTAAAGAAAAAACTAAATGTTTAGCGGTGATGAAGAAAGGCATGTTTTTGCTTTTAAATCCAAGCCCCCTCCCTTCACCTCTCCCATCTTCCCTGCTCTCCCTCACCCCCTTCACCTGGCTGGTTTCACCTGCTGGCAAAGGCTGACACACCACTATGGTAATGGCTTTATTGGCATGAACTGTTGAAGAGAGAAGCCAGCCACCACACACACCATACCACATCAGCCCACCACAACACTCTCGCTTCACAGCTTCCCCCAACTCTGTGATCTCTCTTAATGTTCTGTGGCAAAATGTGTTTCTCTTTCGTCTCCATTGCTTTTGCCTCTTCTTTCTGTTCTATAAATATAGATTTTACTCATGTTGTAATTTTTTTCATCCTTTTTGTGTATTTCAGTATTAAGAAATTATTGGAGGACGAAATGCTGTTGTCTGTGCTTTGTGAAAGTAAAAGTGAGGTGTGAGAATGAAATATACCGGCTATTTTTGCTAAGATGGCTGTATCGTAAGCAGTGGGAGAGAAGGCAAATTGTAAAGCTGGAATGGTGTTCATGAAGGCTTTGCCTCGGTGTGAAGAGCAAAGCCTGTTGGGAAAAAAGAGAAAAAAAACCTTAGACCATGGAGCTCAGGTTACCCTGGCTCATGTAAACAGTCAGCCATTAAAAAATCATGGCAGGATTTTTGAAAAAAGACTTTATACATCTTTCGCTCCATCTCTCTCTCTCTCTCTTTTTTTTTTTTTTACCTGACCATATGAATACCTTTGACCTTTTTTGGACCCTGTATTCCCATGGTGGGCTGGAGTCAGGTCTAATATAGTGTTATAGCCATGCAAGTATATGGCTCTGCTTGATGTTTGCAGAGAGACAAGCAGAGTGGGAGTGGACAGCAAAATGTAACTGTCAGCTAAAGGAGAGTAATAGAGGCATTCGTAGCGTCATAGGAAACATATGTGGCTCCATATGCTCTCCATGTTCTCCTTTCCAGTCTCTTTCATTGTCTGAGATGCACCACTGATCTGAGGGCCTCTAAAGTGCCCTGTGTGTGTGTGTGTGTGTGTGTGTGGGGTCTGTGTGCTGTGCATGAGCGTGTGTGTGTGTGTGTGTGTGTGTGTGTGTGTGTGTGTGTGTGTGTGTGCACTCTGACATACAGAAATGACTTATGTGTCTTTGTGTGCTAAAAAAAAAAGACATAAGCATGAACCTTTGTGTTACCGCAAAGAAAGTGTGTGTGTATTTCTCCCGTTCTTTTTTTCATGGCCATTGTGAGTCGGCTGTGAAGTTGTGCATTTTTCTATTGTGCCCCAGGCACAGGCAGGCCTAGGGAAGACAGCCCTGATGGTCATTAGGACCTGTCAGTATGCCTAGAGGAGGAGTGCTGATAAATTTCAGATAGTGTCAATTGCAGATGAAAGATCTGCTGAAGATGCTAGGGGTGTCACGCTTGACTTGCCACTGCTCAACAAGTCCCATCTTCCTTCCAGCAGCAGCAAGCAGGAAAGTAGGCAGGCTCTCCCACCCTTTACTGGCCCTCAGCCCCCTTCTATCCACAACCCCTCACCCCTTTGCCTACCTACACTCCCTCACCCCCTTCCCCACACCCCCTCACCCCCCTCCACCCCACCCCTTCCTGCTTACCTTGGCTAAGCCGCTTTGCATGTTGATTGGGGGAGGGCTAATCCAGTTTGCAGCTGTCGTAGACCAATGATGAATCACCTTTCCGTCATTTGGCCATGCTCCCCTTGCTCAGGGAGGAGGGAGGACCTGGAGGAGGAAACAACAGTGGAGCGGGGCTGCGGCTCAGAGCGAGACAATGTGAGCCTCTGTTCCCCAGCTAGCCCTCTCTTCCCATTCTGCTCCAGAATAACAATAATGTTTTCTCAGACAAGCCTTTTTGTGTCATGGATGGCTCCGGACTGTGACATCGAGCTGCAATAACAAGGAGTGACATTGTTTCTGCTGGGGCAGGTGGAGGCAGAATAAAGAAAGGGAGTGTGGTTTGAGAGGACTCAAAGCCATCTAGGTCCAGGTAAGAGCACAGTTGTGCCAGTGCCAGGAGCATCAGAGACATGTAGCTTTCTGTGTGGCATCAGAGATTGCTTTAGAAATTGTGCTAAAGAACTGTCGGCATTTCTCGGCTTGACTGATTAGAGATGGGAGGCTTTTTAGCCGTCAGTTAATGACAAAAAAGTTTGGCAAAAGGAAAAGAAAACAGGATTAAGCCGTGTGTGCAAGAAATAGGGTCAGTTTATTCTGGATCATCCTTAAGAGTATGCTTAGCGGGTGTGATATTTTTAGGGGAGGAGTAAATTAATATACCTTTGGGAAAAAGGCAATGCAGCTTCCATTACTGGAGCACGCGTGAAGAAGACTGACTTGGACTTTTGTGTTGCTGTTTTTTGTTAATTATAATTACCTTTTTGGTGTGTACTGTCTTGCCTAAATGTATATATATATTTCCCATAAATAATTGATTTGGATTTAAACCCCAAGAAATGACTACGTCTGCCAAAATCTACTGGAAAGTATTACAACATAATATCATTGCAATGTTATTTTAAACCCAGTGAATGCATATCATAATTTAATGTTTTTATCTCATAATTCTGTTTCTTGGTGGCATCTGATATCACTCAGACTACTCAGAGTTGCTTGAGCATTTATCTTTGTGGCCTTTTGTAAAGGCCGATGTTTGTCGATAGCAGAGATACCCCAAACCCTGCAATATAATTAAAAATGACAGTACAATGTACAAAACATTTTATCCTAATTTCATTAACTCACTGTTGCAATGGGAGCAGCGGCAGAAACAAATGGGGTGTAGAGTTTGTGGCCATACTTTTTCAAATCACTCGTGCCTTCTTTTAGCTCCATTGTCTGTGCTCAATCAGATCCTTTGAGCGCACAAATGAGAAGAGAGAATAAGGTTTTCAGTGCCGTGGTCTTTTGTATAAACACAGAAACAATTAAGGAGCTTGCCAGAGCAAACACATGCCTCATGAGCTTCTCATCTGCCCATCACTGAGGCATAGACTCTTATAATCAAGCAGAGTGCTGCGTTTTTAACAGGCATGCTGTGCGTTGCTTCCAACCAGCAAACATCTGTTAACAGTCTTCATTATCGCACAAAACGATATATACTTAAGGCCATTTTTGTTTCAAGAAGCATCAGACTAAATTAAGAGTAAACATTTTGCGTTCACATTACGTTAAATTGTGACTGCCAGTGAGAAATCACAAACTGTGCTGTCAAAATGCTTAACAGTCATTTTATCACTCTGTTCCGCACAGTTTTTTTTTGTGTGTGTGTAACATTTTGTCTTGTGTACTTCTTTCATTTTAATCTGATAATTGTTTTTTTCTGGGCATTTAGCACAGCCTAAAAATTGCTTTATTTAAAGTAGTAAAGTAGAAAAATATCACATGCAAGATAGAAATTAGTAAACTTGCATTAAATTGTGTATTTTTCTACTGTAAGTGCAGTGGAATACACTGTACTTTTTACTCTCTCATGTTCACCATTTTATACCGTGCACGCTGTGTACACAGAATTCTGCATGAGAGCTCTGCGCCTTCCCTGAAACCAGACTATCTAATTTGATTTGATGTGTGCCTGCGTGTGTGTGTGTGTGTGTGTGTGTGTGTGTGTGTCGTCAGGTCTATGGAAATGCAGGATCTAGCCAGTCCGCACAGCCGAGTAAGTGGAAGCAGTGAATCTCCTAATGGTCCCAACCTTGACAACTCACACATCGGTAACAATTCCATGACACCCAATGGCACTGAAGGTATGTGTGCAGTGCTGTTGTGCGTACATTTACCTTTCTCTCTTTTAATGCTTGCTAAAGTTCCTAAAATAACTGAAAATTGTGACAGTAAACCTAAAAGGATTTTATCACAGTATCGATGCTTTACAGCAATAAATCCAGCATGAGTGTTGAACTGATATTTAGAAGTTTTTTAGGATATATTATCAACACTTTTGCTGTAATATAGTATTAACAAGATACTAAAATGGGGCGTGGATTCATTTGACATTTGCTGGTTCTCAGCCTTAACACAGTTCAGTACCTCAGTTGGTCGTTTTCTCGTGACTATTAGCTGTTTATTTAAGCACCCATGTAATTATTCAAAGCCCACAAATGGAAATGATGGCACTTTGCATTTGGTTTCTACTCTACATTGTTATAGTCACTCAGGCAATTCACCTGTGCTTCAAATCTGAGCCTTTGTTTAGTGAAGCAGTCGTCCCCAAATCATAAAACATCAATTTATTAAAAGAACCACATTGTCAGATAAGCTTTAGAAGTATTTTTTTAATTTATTATTTTTGTTTGTTTGTTCATGACACACAGGACCCGTAGTCATGATGTAGACTGTCATGTGTTCCTTTGCCATTCTGTCTTTCCCATAGGTGATAACATCACAATGCTTACCACTGCAGACTGGTTGTTAGGTTCAAACTCACAGTCCGCTGCAGGTTTGTCTACTGTTGGTGCCAATGAAAGGACAATACTTGGTGTTTTGTTTTTTTTGTTTGTTTGTTTGTTTCAACTCAACTGAAAGCACTCATTGTAATTTTGAACCATCTACTTGACTCATGAAGAAATTTGTATTCTTTAAAATCTTCCCTTAAAATTATATTACTATTTACCAGCTGCAACGTTATAAAATCGCCTCAACTATTGTGCCTTTCATTCAGAAACTCTGGTACTTGTTGTTATTTTTTGTGGCATTCTGTTTCAAGCATGGTTTGACACAGACTTGACTTGAGTTCATTGTTAGTGATTGGTCGTACTGTGAACTTGCATATAAGCATTATAATTCTTAATTTTTTAATTTGGTTGTTCCATGCTGATTTCCTGAATACAGTGGTTATTGTGTGCTCTGTGACCTGAATGCTAGTTTATGCATGCATTTACCACTATTTTTCATCAGTGTGCTGTTGAAAAGAACTACCCTTTGTCAGCATATGTTCCTGCACTGAGCAAGCATAGTGGAAACATGTAAAACATGACAGCAAATGGCTTCTTCAACCATGAGGGATTCCACTGAGCATGACTCCTTTGCCCACATTGTCAATCTGTTTTTCCAAAAAAGGAAGAAAACAATCCTTCAGCCCGCCTGAAGTGAACTGGATAGATTTCAAAGAATCCTGAGCTGTCAGATAGCTGTGAAATTGTCTTTGCAAATCTATTGCTGAGCTGTATAATAGCATCAAGGTCAAACAGCGTTCCCCACCCTCTTAAAAAGATTTTATACACCATATATTTCCTTGACATTTCAGTCGTACTTGCGTATCGCTTTTTATCAGCGACTTTAACGCACATCTACTGCACTTATTTTCATTCATCCCACATCTAAGTACTGATATGTCAGGAGGTTATTTTCTTTAAATTAATAATAGAAAGCTTTAGTATTTTACATTTACTAGAATCCACTCTCATATGAAAGTTTAATTCGTGGTTCTTTTTTAAGTAGATAAAAACTTTCCTATTGCGGTTTTGATCTTTTCTATTTTGTCACTCTGAAAGATAAATAACAAGAGATCAAAAGAAAATCTAGCTACCAAAAATAATTACACAATTCAGTAATACATGTACATAAGACTACTGCAAATGTATCGTGCATTTAAATTAGCTGACCTTATTTTACATGCAATACACTTATTAAATGTTATTTTTTTTCCAAAAAAGTATTTTTTGTTTGTGAAAATGTGGAAGCCTAATGTAGTGAGACAAGATTTTCCTTTTTTCCTGACATTGATGTGGTGCTCTTGCTGAGAATGTGTCTTCTTTGTTTGCAGTTAAAACAGAACCAATGAGCAGCAGCGAAATCGCCACCTCAGTAGCAGACACCTCTCTAGATAGCTTCTCAGGATCAGGTGAGACGTTTTGGTGTGTGTGTGTGTGTGAATGTGTGTGAATGTGTGTCCGACTGCCTCTCTCTCATACACACAGCAGATGAGCATAGAGATGACTGACTGATAAGCCGGTACCCGGGAAATGTCCCTTCAGCTAAAACTGCATTACAATGTGTGTTTTTGTGTGGTAGTGTGTTTAAGAACAAGGGGATCTACCTCAACTGTCAGCATATATATATGCTGTGCTTGCTTGCACCTGTGTGTGTGTCCTGACTCCACTGGTTCCCATGTCAGTGAGGACTGAATTATGACCTGTAATGCACTGAGCTTGTCTGTCCAGTGGAGTGACGCGCTATCCCAGTGGCCCTCGATCTCCACGGGCTGTTACCCAATCGGCCTATCAGAGCCAGGCTTTTCACACCTTCCTTTCAGCAAGGAAATATCTCACTCACACACACACACACACTCTAACATAAACACATTGTTAAATAAAACAAAGGCAGCAGAGTATGATAAGCATTGTTGGAACTATCATAGGAATTATAACTATTTAAAATTTGGGGGGTTTATTTTTCCACCATCTGCAGTAAATCTTCGCTGTAAACATTTGTTAATAGCACTACGTGCAGCTGTACATGGTATTAACCTGCTGCTAATTTGCCTTTATTTCCTAAGCCGTTTAACTAAATGCTTGATACTATACGCTCGGAGGACATAAATCACGGCATGACTTTTGTCTCTGACAGTATTAATGAAATTTAGTAATCTTATACCCCATATCCTCCGTGGGGGAAACCCAAAGCGCTCTTCAGAAGAGCAAGTTTTGTCCAGTGGCAGGTGCTACTGATGTGGGAAAAGTGTTCAATATTAATAACGTGTGTGAGGGGTTTGGGCTTACAGTTACATACAGTTAGCGCCCCCCCGCAACCAAATCCCATATTTTACATGTCACGACCGATTAGACAGATGTTTTAAAACTGCGTCTCCGGTACAGTTAAATGCCGAGACTGAGATTGTTGCTTCCCCGAATTGTTGTGGTTTTAAACTAACTGTGAATAATTTTGTCAAGCTTAACAGATTTTAATTTATACAGCTATCTCTTGCATTTAATTAGCTTATTTTGATTTCATTCAATATGACTAATATTGTTTGTGTTTTTTTAACATTTAAAGTTTAAATTTGCAAAACAGCATTCAAGGTAGCTCTTCCACTCTCAAATTTAATTTCTTTTTAAAGATTTTCTTTCTATTCAGAATTATTTACCAGAGTCCTATAAGTAAATTTATATTTTTTGTTAACGTACACGTGCTCTGTGGGTTGGGTGCACATGCACACACGCATCAGCAACAGTAACCGGGAAGATTTTCTACAAATAATCAAATCATAGATTTTAAACGTACTTTTGTGACTGTTGTTATTTGACAAGCTGGAAAAATGAACCCTGTGCTGCGAATGTGTCAGAATGCAAAGTACATTTTGAGTTGTTTGACTTAAAACCGCACTAGCTAGTTTAATTCTCAGTTTAATCTGAGCTTGCTAGCAGCTTTGTGTTAAAGTTGCCTGTCTTATCTAAAGTAGGGCTTTGTGTTGATCAAAAGGCATATTTTAAAATCAGCATCTCTGTGATTTACCATGAATAGCAGTCTGATGCTTAAAAAAATGTTTCCATCTCAGTTTATTTCTCAACTTTGCACCTATCTACCTATCACCTACTCTCACCTGCACAGTTTGACTGAAGATAGGGTTGATCTGTGAGGCGGCTTTGGGAGAAACCCTCTAACACTATATAGGAAAATGGAGCGAGACAGCTGATATTGCACAATTTTACATACCCCACAACTATAATTAGTGTAGTAATTTTAGAACTAATGTTACAAGTGAAGGCATATTATAGTTATTCTGATGAAGGCGGGGAATTGTACAAATATGTACAAAATTGAAGATGGATGGAGTGAGTTTGAGCGTCCCCTGATTATTGCACAGAGAGCCAGAGCCTCATACAGCATGACTGACAAAGGCAATCTAGAGTTAAATAATTTTTTCTGCACTCAAAATAAAAAAATCTTGTAAAGTTGCTTGTATTTCAACCTTAAGAGCACCGGTGAAGCATATACTCATCAGTGATGAAACGAGTAGCACTCATTAGCTCCAATCAGTGACGTCACTTCAGATATGGCTGTGGCTAGAAAGACCCAAAGCATCTTAAGCCACAAGCCGAGACTGATTCAGGCCGTCGTGTGTGTGTGCTTACACCAGTGTTTGTCATAGCGGCTCAGAAGTATCTCAGAGATACGTGGGTCAGCAGGAGGACCTGATGTTTTTACCTGATTATTTTGCTTCATTATAACTCTCCGGTTTTCAACCTTAAATAAGGTTACCAAAATAAATAGAGTAATGCAATGTAATTACTGTTTCCTTGGAATCCAGAAGTTCTGTTGGCAAAAGATAATATTTACCTTATTTCTTAATGTTTAAATATGTGCTTGCCTCTTTTCTTTTTAACTCTCCTCAGCTATTGGAACCAGTGGCTTCAGCCCAAGACAAACGCACCAGTTCTCTCCACAGATTTACCCTTCCAAGTAAGGTTTCTTTTATTTTTCTGTAAAAAAATAAGCAGCATCCAACTTCATTTCGTTCTTTAATTAGATCCTTCTGCTAGATGGGGGTTTTCTGACTGGCTTTGTTTGCATGGGTGTCTGTAGCCAGCGCACTCTGAAATCTGTTGTAATTATTATCTTGCAAAAATTTCCTTTGCCATTTATTGTTCTTTCACTATGTATATGAGCTTTGCTATGCTGTCTATCTTACAGCTTGGCTGGCTGTTTAGAACGAAGTAGCTCAATCACAAGGAATTTCTCAGTTAGCAAAGTTTGTGTTATGGTTTTGGGGGTAAAACACGGGCCTCACTTTTCCTGCCTTCCTTTTCTCACTCTAGTTTCTTGTTTCTTTTCTCAAATAGCAGAACATATCCGCATATTCTTCCTACCCCTTCATCCCAAAATATGGCTGCGTATGGACAGGCGCAGTACACCACAGGAATGCAGCAGGCCGCAGCTTATGCTAGCTACCCTCAGCCTGGCCAGCCCTATGGCATACCAGCTTATGGTAAGATTAACACAAATGATTGCCTCCTCTTGCTGGAGAGAGTCTGTTAATAATGTCAGAGTTCTTGAAATTGTATTAACCCAAAGTCTTGAAAATGCACAACTAATTTTTTTTTCTTCATGAAGTTTAGGAAAAGTACCTTGCTCATGTTCCCAGAATTCCTCCTGTACACCAAAACCAACAGAGATGCTGAGTTGTTGTTTAGTGCCTGCATATTCTCTTGCAGTGCAGTAGAAGAAAATTTGCTTATGAAGCTGTTCAGATAGATCAGAAAGATTACTGATATAAATCTGAAAACAAGAACTGGTTTCCTCTGGCATTGCAAGAGAAGCATAGAGTACATCGCTTACTGTAGACTTTATTTGTCCTAAGTCTTTGGAGTGTTTTGACCCCAGAAGACTCTCCAATATGTGGAGGAATTTACACTGTTTATTTGAATAAAGTCCTGCAATCTGCCGTCGCATAGAGACTACATTGTGACTGACTCAGCCAAAACAGTGGTCAGGGTAGCTCACAAACAAGGGCAGAATGTTTTGTAACTTGTGCATCTTTTCATGTGACCTTTGCTAAATGATAATAACAGTTATTAATAAAATCATAAAATAAAACAAGCCTAATCCAAACATGCGTTTTGGTTTTCGAGCAAAAGCAGTGTGCTGTTGTGCAGAGTGATGGAACTCAGCGCAAGATAAAATTTCCAAACAACAAATGATGAAAATCAGTAACAGATAATCACCAGTCATCCACTGTGATTAGTGTGTTATGCTAACAGACAGAGGTGGTGTCCCTTTGCTGTCCAGTGTAATTTAAAACTGTGTTGACTGTTGTCTGTGCATCAAACCGATCTGGTGTCACTAACTGATTTAGGTCCATTGTGGGCAGGCATAAAGACGGAGGGGGGTTTGAGTCAGTCCCAATCCCCGGGACAGACAGGCTTCCTAAGCTACAGCTCTGGCTTCACAACACCACAGACAGGACAGGCCCCCTACAGCTACCAGATGCAGGGTGAGGACATCATTGTGAATTCTTTTCTTTTTCTCCCAATTTTTTCCAAAGTTTGAATTTGTGCATTAGAAAACACACCACAAGATGAAATACATTTTACTTAAACCCAACAGCATATGAAATAGATGGCAAACTATTTTTTTTTTTTGCTATTTCTGTAGTGGGTCTCTTTTTGGATGTAATGCACAAAATCCTGTCTTTATATTCAGCCCTTTCAAATAAGGTTTATTTTACTTTTTTTTTTTACATTAGAAGACTTATTCACAGCACAGCCCTCGCCCTCACCCTTGATAGTGGTTGCAACCCACCGGTGTTTTGTGCAGCCACAACGGCTGCCTTCCTTTCCTCTCCTCTCTTAAAAGAATCAACACAGATGGAAAAATGGCAAGCACTTAGGAGGCAGCAGCCATGTCGCTCCCCAGCCTTTGTTTTTTCTCTCCCTGTGATCATATTTTCATTTGTTTAAGAACTGAGAACACAGAGATTTATGCCCTTGAAACCGATTAAGATGAGTTGTGCACCCTACACTCCCCCTTTTTGTGCTCTTTCTCTCCAGCCATACAGTTTAAATGTAGATCAGGCCTAATGCCCAGTGGAGTGTATCTGTTACACTCTTTCTGCTTCTCTCTGGTTCAGAAAGCCTCTGCACTGGGCAAGCTAGCTGCTATTGCAGTCTTTGTATTCTCTCCTGTAATATCTAAAGTGTGACAGTTGAAATATCTCCACATGTTGCTGAAAAGCCCCCAGAACATCCCACAATAAATAACACCAGCTCAGCAGCAGATGTGGCAGGGGAAGCCTCTCTTCCACGCCTCTTAACCAAATACAGTTGGCCACATTCAGAGATTTTGGAGCACACTTCACACCTGAAAAAAGGAGAGGCAGAGAGAGAACGACAGGAACAAAAGTCAGAGCATGTGCGGCAGAGTGCACAAGCTGCTATCCTGCCCTTAGTGGTTTAACTCATGATGACAGTATTATGTTCCCATTCATCTTCTAAGTATTATGCTCTTACTCTGTCTTTCTTTTAACCTCCGTCTATCTCAGTCTCTCCCTCACTCTCTTCAGCTATCTCTGCCTATCTTTTCCCCCATGTTAGCGTTAAGTGCATTAGTAATTGACAGCCATGTAAGATGACAGATTGACCACTATTCTGGCCCTGGGTTCTCTAACTGTGGCTCTGGCCCTCCGCCACACCATCATCATTACTCTCTCCGGCCTATTGATCTGCCTGGGCAATGTGCCTCAGGCCTGGGTGTCCCAACCAAAGACTCCTTTTCCACATCTGATACTCCCCTTTCTTTCAGTGTCGCTGCCACCAGCCTGTGGCCAGCTGTCAAGGCAGAGGACGATTAGATTAATGTTTTTTGCTCTTTGCTTTCATCTCTGATGCGATCGAGCTTTGTGTGGTTGCTAAAGTCAAGGTACCAAATCATAAAGTGGACACTTGGGGCACTTTCTTTGTAGGGCATTTCAGGGAGTACCAAAAATGGCAAAAAATATTAGAGGAGCGTAAACAGACAGAGACATTGTTTTTATGGTGGTGCTGAGCAGATGCTAATTAGGTGAATAATTGGGTTCCAGCATTCTGTCCCAATGGTAGTGCGAGCTGAAGAAGCTGAAGCCTTGGTTGCCTTTTAAAAGGAGAGCCCCATCTGGACTTGATAGGCTATTCCCAAGTGGGGCATACAAACTTCTGCTACAAATATTGTGCACTGATGATAGACATAGCCCATGGCAAGGGACTGATCAAGCAAAGCAAATGGACTTCCAATTGTGGAGCCAGAAGGCAGGAGGGAAGGAGGAGAGGAGGGAGGGATGATGTCTGGTCCTGAGTGAGTGAACTAACTGGAGCAGGACAGGGGGAGGGAGAGAAAACATGCCCCCCGGGGAACCACAAGGCCCTTTCTTTCTCTCCCTGCTATAACCAGCACCACCACTCCAAACAGCATGGGCTCATTCTCACCGGGCTAGCGGGGGTCCCCTCAGCTTTTATGTGGCTCCTTGTTCTCCACAGAGCAACCCTCAAACCTGCCAGCGAGAGCTTTTATGACTGTTTGAACTGTGCATTAGGCTAATTTGTTGTTCTTTGCGGCCTTTGCACCTTGTTTTTGTCTTATTGTTCAATTGAACCTTCGCAGTATTTTGAACTTTCTTCAGCGAACACAGGAAAGTTTTATCTCCTTCCCCTTAAAATATTAAACAAGAAAAGAAAGAGCAACGCTGATAATTACCGGGATGTAAAACATGCTGGAGGTAAAAACTGCACATGCTGCACAAATAATTATTAAATTCTGGTAATTTAAAGGTATTTCTTTTTATCTTTTAGCCACTGTGCTGCAAGTGTAGCTAACTGACAAGTCAAAACTCAATGTCTTCATGCTGCTTTGGATGCACTGCCATATCACCCCCGCACCCAAAAAAAAGACACATGCACAAAACACACACACACTCCCCTCCACTCACACAGAAAAACTTCCCTAATCATTCCCCCCTTTCTGAAAGCTGCTTCATGTTTGTCACGGTGTGGGAGGGCCCTCCTGATGGGGCCAGTGACCATAGGATGAAAGGAACTCCGTCTGTTTGTGTCTGACAACAAAGGTGTAATTACGTCCTCATTTAGGAACAGTAAATCTATCTCCTGCCTCCTTTTCACTGAAGCTGTGGGATACTTTCTTGGCCTTGGTAGGATGACTACGGTTATAGGTAAAGAAATTGTTTAAAGAATATGGCGGCGCCCTTTTTGTGTCCCCTACGGCTATGTGGACAAACAAGCTGCTTTTGTATGGACAGAAATGAGGTACAAAGCCCACTGTTTTTTGGGCTCAATGTTTTTTAACAATTCATTTGGAATTAATTAATTAAAACTGAATCATCTGTCACTGAGAGTGAGAGAGAGTGACCAGAACTGACCAAAACCCTCGATTTTTAGTTTTGTTTATTTTAATGTGTGCATTACACTGTTGGCAGAATAATTTGCTTATACTAAACTCCACAAGTAATCATTGCTTAATTGCATTATTTTGGATAAGAATGAATTACACTTGAGTTGATGAGAAATCTGCACATAAAAGTCACATCAACACATCGTGGCCCCTACTCACAGCTTTTCCGATGAGTATTTTGCAATGAAACTTCTTTATAAACACGATTGTTGCTCATTTGCTCAAATGGGAATCCCCCTCACTACATCTTTATAATGGATAAACCAGTTTTACTTAGTTGACCAGTTCGCAGTCATTGTTTGTGATTAAATAAATATTTGAGTTCAGTTTAATGCCGTTAAGCCTTGAGCAATAAAATCTGGCAAATTCTCTTTCTTTTTTTTCCTTATTTTAACAGTTAGAAGTAACATTTATTAATTAATATTAATTTGTGGATCGAAATATGCAAATGAAGACAGATTTTTATGTTAATTATTCAGTTCTTTAAATCGTCACAATAACTGTTATCTCAAGAATTAGGATCTGGTTTCTCTACCAGTGTATGACCCCTTTAAACTGTCCCTCCTGCTGTTCTCTGACTTGACATGACAGTACAGGTGGATGGCCACTGAGGAGAGATGTTGTGTCCCAACAGCTGCTGCTGTCCTATGCTACAAATCATAGCATGTATGATATTAGGGCATTAGATACTATCGACCCTTTTGAGTGATTTAATTACCCAGAAGAACCATAGTTTGAACAAGTGGAAAGGAGAAGCATACATATTCATCAGGGCTGGATTTCAGTAGCACACCATGCCAGAGCTGCTCACCCCAACTTCAACCCTCTTTTCATATACATCTCTGTCACTATACCCCCACCCCCCACCTCCTACTCATGTCCCGTCCAGAGTGCATCCACCGTTTCCACCCCCTTTACTCAACGCGCCACCCTTCGGTAACTCGCACACAACAGTCTCTTGTGTTCTTCGCATTGTGCGGGCTTGGAAGCAGGTTTTCCCCCCCACCTCTGCACTGTCATTCATCAGGCCTGATCCAATCACAGATAAGGGAGGAAGAGCAGAAAGATAAGGCCACTGTTTGGAGCTCTCCCTGAGGCCTCTCTCTGTTCACCTACTAAAATAGTTGTTTCAAGATGAATCTTTTTTCCCCCTCCTAACAATGCACCATTTTATTTACACTGCTGCAGATTTAATTTTGTCTTTTCATGTAACATAACTTAAAGTTCCAATGTTTTTCTCCTCATAGGTGGGACTTTCACAACAACGTCAGGATTGTACACAGGAAATAACTCCCTGACAAACTCAACTGGCTTCAACAGCACGCAACAGGTAGCTGCGGATTTCTCCCTTATCTCCTTATTCCTCTAATCTGGTATCAATTTGCAGCTATCATTTTATACTTGAGGTTTGAACTGATCTTGGAAATCTTCATGAAACATGCGTACTCAATATGCTACATTTCACCCATGACACATTCAGACATAAATCATTCACAATGTCAAAAGCTTTGTACACAGGCTTATCTACCGTACCTCCTCCAACACATGTATATTATGCCACAGAGGAAAGGAGGAGGGGAAAAAACAAGACAGATCGTTGTCCAGATGTAGGACAGAACAGAACATGTGTTTGCATTTATTTTTTGGAATCTGCACTGTAAAGTAGCAACACTGGTGCAGGGCATTTCTCAGATTACCCTGCCAAACCACCTAGTTATTTTCTTCAATTCTGCTACCTTTTGTCTTTCTGTCTGCCTCTGTGTTTTGATCTAAATCTTCCCTCTAACATCCCATTGAACTTATCATTCCATTTGACTCTTTTTTTTATGTATCCCTGCTCAGACATGCACTTCTTCTCTGAACATGTTGACTTTGTGTCTGAGTGAGCACCCTGGTAATACTTATGTAAAAGTCACGATGGCAGTATTATGACGCTGGTCCTAGTAAGGATAAAATAGTAAATGGACTGTATTTGTATAGCGCTTTACTAGTCCCTAATGACCCAAAAGCGCTTTACACATCCAGTCATCCACACATTCACACACTGGTGATGGCAAGCTACATTGTAGCCACAGCCACCCTGGGGCGCACTGACAGAGGCAAGGCTGCCGGACACTGGCGCCACCAGGCTCTCTGACCACCACCAGTAGGCAACGGGTGAAGTGTCTTGCCCAAGGACACAACGAGCGGGACTGTCCGAGCCGGGGCTCGAACCGGCAACCTTCCGATTACAATGCAAACTCCCAACTCTTGAGCCATCAAATATCTCCATTTGCATTTGCAGACAAGCAAATGACCCATTGTCTGGAAAGCAGCTTAGAAATAAGTCCAGCCTTTTGCACGCTTGGAACTGGGCAGGCTTTTGGACAGAAACTTAAGAAAAGGGAATTTAAGAAAAGGATTCCCTAAAAGTCATGAACTAGCCATGGCGATGATAATGTTAAACGAGATGCAGTGAACTTAGGAAAAATTCTTCAAAGAAATTTTGAACATGATGTCTCTTTTAACTCTGTCATCTCTATTACCACAGCACCATTTCCACAAACCATGAACAGAAACTCCAGTGCTGTCCAGTTATAGTGTATGACATCATGTGTGTAACGTCTCTTTTCATCACTATTGGGAAGATGTCTCAATGAAACCTTGAGGGACACTGACACACAAGTGACCTACAGAGTTGTGTCAAATTAAAGGAAAAAGCTGAACACTGAACCCCTACAGTGCTCTTAGAGGGAAAAGTACAATAGGGGTTAATAAAAGTTGTTCTAAGTGATCGTCTGTATCCTGAAATGAAAATCATGAGTGTTCTTCCCCTGAAAGAATTCAAGCAGTTTTTGGTTGCAATTTATTCCCTTACATGTGTCTGACTAAATGAAATGCCATCACTTTAATCAACTAATTAAAAGTTATCAACTTTTTCAATTTACCCTACTTACTCCACAGGACTACCCAAGTTATCCAGCCTTCGGCCAGGGCCAGTATGCTCAGTATTATAACAGCTCACCCTACACTTCACCCTACATGACAAGTAACAACACCAGCCCCAGCACGCCCTCAACCACCACTACCTACACCCTCCAGGAACCACCCACTGGCATCACCAGCCAAGCCCTCACAGACAACCCTGCAGGTAGGAATTAAACCTCAGCTAGACCTGCCTTGTATAACCTGAAGATCACCAGTTTGATTCTGGTAAGAGGTGTGTGTCTCTTGGAATTTGCTCTCCATAGCAGAGAAAATGTTCACTTCCACTACATAAGAACAGGACAGTTTGAGCCACTACATCTAGTGGTGAGATAAAACAGAAATCAGATGTAAGATTTTCCATAATTTCATGTGACATTATTGCATCATCTTGCAACTGAGATTGTATATTATAAGCCACTCAGAATTTTATGACTGCATTTGAAATTGTCATCATTCACGCTGAAGACAGCTGGCTTTAACTAAATATAATTTCATACTTCCATCATTCAATTTAGATAAAGGACATTTTAGCTATTTCCAGTTGACATGCACTCCATTACCTCTTGTTTATTAAATCAGTATGGCGCACAGTAGCCTTTATTATTTGTTCTGCATCTGATTTATGCCATGCTTGTTACCTGCAGTCTTATAAGTTATGTCTCCTGCAGGATGCTGTCTGTCCTCCATCAAGACAAATAGTCCCCTTAAACATCTTTTCTAAAAGCAAATAGAAGCTCGTCTTCGGTGCGCTCTTTTAATACTCCCCTTCCTCCTTCTTTCCTTCCTTTCAGGAGAGTACAGTACCATCCACAGTCCATCAACCCCCATTAAAGATTCAGATTCAGATCGATTGCGCCGAGCCTCGGATGGAAAGTCACGTGGCCGTGGAAGAAGGAACAACAACCCATCACCGCCGCCTGACTCTGACCTTGAGGTAGGGTGAACCCGCTACCTTGGCGACAGACAGCCTCGCCCTGTCTGAGACACATGGACACTAATCCACTTACTATATGGCTGCCACACCAACTTTAACACTTGATGGACATTAATACTTAAAGACATGATTCCTTAACTTTAAATGCATTATTAATGCATTGTGGAATATATGAGTCATCACTAAACGCATATCATCTATAAAGAGCTTTGTATATCGTATAAATAAACAATAAGGCATGTGATTAAGTGAGTCATCACTGATGAGATACGTACTACATATATACCACGCACTGAAGACTGCTCACCAGCTGTTGCTTACAGTGGTGTTATTGCCCACTTTGATAGTGACCATGTGTCAAAATAAACTTGCTGTAATTTCGAGGACTCTTCATTAATATGTTATTAATTTGACTGAGGATAATAGCAGCCATTAAAACACTGACATCATGGCATGTTAACATATCTAGTTAATTAGTTTGTCACTATTGATTACTCTAATGTAAAGGGCATGGGGTGGAAAGTGTGTAGTGGGGTGGTGAGAGAAGTGTTGCGGTGACCAACCCAAGCAAATGGATCCTGGTCCCTGTGGCACACGAATACGCTCCTGGCCTATTGACCAGGAGGATCACCTTGCAGCCCTACAGAGTGCACCATTGATTTTGCCTCTTTTTTTCCCTGTTTTTCTTTGTTTCTTTCTCCCCCACCTCTGCCCCCCATCTCTCTAGCGAGTTTTCATCTGGGACCTAGATGAAACAATCATCATTTTCCATTCCTTGCTTACGGGTTCTTATGCCAACAGATATGGACGGGTGAGTGACATCAGACTCTGGCAGTAGCCATTCACTTTATCAGCAAAATGCATGAATATTAAAAGGAGGGGGGCAGAGGATAGATTTCACTTTGCTCTAACCCCACAGTGAGACGATAGAGCAGAACTCAATGTATAGATAATTGCTTCTTCTTATTTTTTTTAAATGAGCCCAATGAGATCTGACAAAAACCTGACTGCTCTTTGCAGCTGTTGGGGGGCTCTGCATGGCCCATCCAGGCCCGGCTGTAGGGGCTCACAACAGTTGCACTCTGGATGTCTATTGACACATCTTGAGTGTTCCTTTCTCCTTCAGAAATGCCACATTGTTAGTTTAATTAAGTGCTTCTCAATCCATCCTTTTCAGGCAGGGATCTCCCTGGAGACCCTGGCAGGAGAGTGAGTCCACTAAATACAGCCCAGCCAGAACTCAAACTAGAGCTTAGAAATTCTGCCAAACCTGGCTTAATTAAGACTCAACAAATATGTATGTATTAACAAACATATATTTTTATTATTATAGCGAAAGGTCATTTCTATCCCATGTAACTTTGTGTGCTCATGAAATGAAGAGTTTACTTTTCCAGGGTTTTCTATTTGTTGTTTCATGTAAATTGCTTCTCTAAATTTAAACCTTCAAAACAAATAATTTGGGAAATAAGCCAGAATGCTTTTCTCATGGTTATATTGAGGTCATAGGTTCTTTTAAAGTACATCATCCTGTCTGTTTTTCCCCTTCTAGATATAAAAATTGACTTTAATATGAAATTCATAAACTAATATGCATTTTGTTTTAATTTTTTTTTTAGAGCAGTGTTTTGTTTTAGTTTTTTTGAAAATAACATATTACTCCTCCTATGTCAGAGAGCTTAGCGTCTGCAGCCCATGCTCTGTGCCTTTGTTCTGGTATGAGGGGTGTTTGATGGGGGTAGTGTTTTGTTTTGGGGGTGAAAGAGGGCTGCCCCACGACCCTTTACTGTTTATTTACTTTATTCCCAGCCCTGCCTGCTGCGTAAAGAGAGAGCTAAATGCTTAGGGAGCTGTGGCTCCGTCATGAGGGTCTCTTGCACCATGCACACACATAATCACACATAGGGTCTCCAGTGTGCTCCTCTGAAACTCCATAATGGCCCATTCCATCAGAGCTCATATAGGATGCGACAGCTAACTAGAGCCACTCGCTCTGGATTTTTTCATTTGTTCTCTGTTTTTCTTCCTCTCTGCCCATTTTACTCACTTTGTAACCCATGATTTTGTCCCTCTGCCATGCCCTTATCTGAAATACAGATCTATAAACTCCCTTAGAAAAGAAAGTTAAGACTAACAACCAACACAACCATTCCACCCCCTTCTCCTCCTTTCTGGCTTTCATTGATGCCAGGCATAAACAAAAAAGATACAAAACAGTTTTCCCTCCTAGCTGCTCTAAACTTGCTATAAATAGATGTGTATCTGAGTGAGTGCACATCCACACTTTCGCTCACTCTCTGTGACCTCCCACCCGCGCGCTCTCTTACTTTTTTCTCTCTCCCTCATACACATAAACACACTGCTGTTCTTATCAGTTCTTTTAATTGGCATCAAGGCAGCTCACCCCCATAAAGCTGATGGCTAAGGCCAGCTGTGCTGGTACTGGGCTGGCCAGAGCGAGAGCTTAAAGTGGGTGGGGATGGGGGTTGTTATTGGTAAGGGGCTTGAGGGTGGAGGGGGAGGCTTGGCGTCCCCCTAAAGCCACTGACATCTCAGGACAGGTGGTGCTGGAGCAGTGACAGCAGCAGCACTTTGGCCTTCTGGCCTGCTTGTATTCTTAACTCCCTCACTGACTGATTGTTTAGATTTAATTGGAAAGGATTCACTTGTGCAGAAAAGGCAGCCTTTTCCCACCAAACCAGTCCATAAGAGTGAATCACCCAACAGCGCCAGAGGTTGGGAAGAGGGAGCTGGTAGCCTGTTCATGTGGGAGGCTAATTATTTTTGATGAATTCTTACTGAAAGATTGGTTCAAACTGGGAGGTTAAGAGGAAGGAGAAAGCCTCTAGAAGTGGGGATTGAGCTCTCCTTGTGTGGTTTGTACTCTGTCATTTTAGAGAAAACATAAGCATTGTGGGGTGTGACAGCTAATCAGCAGAAAGCTCAGGTGTGTCTTTAGGTGGTTTAACTCTGTAATCCCTGCTTCTGGTCCTGCCTGGCTTGTCTCTTATACAAGTCTCACCCAGCTGCAGGAAAACCTCCTCCACGGGAAGCTTTTGTCTTCACTTTGTCCTTTACTTGCTGAGGACATTCTGCTGATTTGAGACTTAAAATGTAAAAGGCATTCAATATGTATGAAAACAAACAAGCACAAAAAAAGAATGTAAACATATCTCTCAAGTTATTTAATTAATAGTAATATTAATATATATGAAAACCCAAAAGTAAAACAACAATAAACAATGGACAATTTTATAATCATAAGAAGTTTCATTACAATTACAGTCATTGGGGTTTATAATTTTGTAGCTGTTCATGTGAGAATGATCTGATGACATTTTGCCTATACGTTAACCTTTTAAAAGGAAAACTGCACACATTGTCACATGCTCATTAACTATTTACAGTGTTGTTCACTCCTCTCTTGGTATTATCTTACAGACAGTGCAGCCATATCACCATTGCAGCACGTGTCACATTGCTGACAGAGATCACAATTTAAGGAGGAATTTGTAGTTGCGCCTGATATAGGGATTAATATAACCGTTGAATTATTTTGCAGTTTTAATTTTGAAGAAACGGAGTGACTGTCAGTTAACTAAAGAACCTTTACAGGGAATCGTATTTTATCATGTAGAGAGCAATCAGATGATGCATCTGGACAACTATGTGGAGAATGGGCTATTTACGATGAGGCTGTGACCCCGGCTCTTCCATTTAACTGCCCCTCCCAAGAACAGGCATGGTTTTACTCGGTTCATTCTGTCTGTCTGTGGCATTTCTGATGACTATTCTGGTCCCTTTCAGAGGGTCGTAAACAGAGACTGAAACTTTCAAGTGCACCTAATGTCTTCTTTTATGGGAATACCTTGCTGTAGAATTTAAAGGGATTTTTGTGTTAATTGACAGACTTGCAGGGAACTTCATTATTTACTGTTCTGCATTGCTTCATCTGCTTCTTCAAACATACAGTGTATACACACACACTTATATTTCAGAATAATGTGGTTTGATTTAATTAGTTTTGTCTGTTTTCTGTAGGACCCGCCAACATCTGTATCGTTAGGCCTTAGGATGGAAGAAATGATCTTCAACTTGGCCGACACGCACTTATTCTTTAACGACTTAGAGGTGAGTCTGTTTGTGTGTGTTTTACTCTGGTATGTTTTGTTTCTGCACAATTGCCTTCTGTTTACTTTCTGATGATTTTAGTGGCCAGAGGAGTGGATGTGCTGGGGTGTGAGAATTTTTTAGTAAAAGAAGCAACTGTTACGTAGCGTAGATCCTCTTTTACTAATCTCTTAGTAATCTATCCCATAAGCGATGGCATGAATTTTACATGCGCTGTCAGTCTCCTGGGTCACCAGCCCTGCCCCCCCACCTCCACTGTCTTCCCACTCCCATGGCAGCTAGTCCAATTTGTCAGGCTCTAGTGTTTCTGTGGCTGCTCTGTCTGTGTGTCATGCTGTGTGCTTGGTGTCGCTGTCCACCTACACTACACCACAGACCCCCTCCGTCACAGCATGAAATCCCTGCCACCTCCCCTCCCTTGCCCCCCTGATTCATGTACAGTTAGTGTAAAATCTTCCCCTGGGGCACAGGAATAGAAGGATCAGGCGTGGAGAAAAATGTGTGTCACATTTGTTGAAACAAATGTGACGCACACTTCATGCATGGGTATGAAGCATACCCTGTGTGCAGATTCAAATGTCAAACCCAACTTACAAGCAACTGTCCACAAATTTATCGTATTTTTTATATTTGCAGTTTTTTTTGTCCACGCCTTAACAATTTTCTCCCGGTGAATCTGATCCCACCGGCCCTGCTTTTTTCCTCAGAGTCCTGCTTTATGCTGACCTCACAGGAGAGGAAATGTTTTGTTTGATACTTAAGTGTGAAGAGATCTGCGGCCGGCCTGCCAAGTCTCATTACTCACCACCATGTTCGGCTGTGCTACATGAAGCAAGCCCAAGAACGAGCAAAAAACATGGGAGACAGGGAGACAGAGAAAGAAAATACGCATACTCCCCCAAAAAGACAAGCGACTGAGATCCCAAGTGCAGTCATCGTGATCAAAGTTAATTGGCTACAATTGGCTGGTTAAATATTTCCTTATGCCCTGGCCATGTAGAAGCTGTTGTAGCTGCACTTTATTTAATAGATGTGCCCCAATCATTTGAAAAAAATGGCACTTTGTGACAATGCTTAAATGTGGTTTTGCTCAACATCTGTCCCGTGTTTTGATCCTTTCATGTGCTTTGAAAGTGTTCACAGATGAATTGGCAGCTCAGTCTACTTCAAAACTCCAGCGCACACATTTCTGCTGCTCTGTCTCAGCAACAGTATTATTTGATTTTGTGTTTAGGCTTTAAGGACTCAATTTTTGCAGCTTAAATTTGTTTAGTATGCTTAGGTAGGGATGCTTTTTACAGTGTCCAGTGTAAAGACGTCTCTGCAGATTCTGCAGTAATTGTCACTAACAATGATACCAGAGGAGGAGTGACATTCTCTTGAAGGCATATTGATCTCTCCTCTTAAGCTGAGCAGGGCCAGTGTGAGTGTTAAGTGCCAGGTCTCAGCAATGCCTAACCAGTTGTATTTCCTCTCTGCTGATTTACGGTCCTGCATCTCAGATAGAGCCAAGTAGAGTCCAACTATAAATACCACAGCCAGCAGCAGTTATGTATTTAAGCATGTGCAGAAATGCATATGGTCCATCTAATTTGGTCTAAGCCATAAAGGGAGACCCCAGAGGCTGTGCAGAAACACAGGTGCAGAGTTAGTGGCCTGACGGTGTGTGAGTGGTCCATCTAAGTCTTAACACTGTTCTGACAGCCACTGCACGAGGATATTAAATATGAGCTCAATAAAATTTCAAAGTGTGTATAATTCCTAATTGTTTTAATTTGAATATGGTTTCTTTAAAAAAAAATAGATTCAAAGTTTTTAAAGCATTGGGCTGCTTTATAGGACATCTAAAAACCACAATTAAGCATAATATTATACTGAGTCTGCAGAGGCCACATGCCACAGGCCACAGCGTATAATGCGTGTTAGTGTGTGTGTATATCTGTGTGTGAATAGAGGCTGGACTGTGTTGATAGAGCTGGTGAGTGACGATTCAGGGGAAAGTCATAAAAAGAAAGAGGGCATGCCGAAGGGGTCAACAGGGATCAGTTTCCCCCTTATGTCTCTCTCTCTCTCTCTCTCTCCGTCGCCCTTTTTCCTCCAACCATTTTTTTCTGGATCAGCACTCTCTTGTTTTTGTTCACTGTTTTTTATATGAGTCCCAGAAATACTGAAGTTTCACTAAAAGACCTCCCTTCCCAACTTGCACGCGCAATTCTCTCGATCGATTGTCCCACACAAGCCATTTGTTATTAAGCTCTATTATAAAGGAAGGGTGTATGATTGTATGAACAGCACGATCTGTTTTCTATCATCAAAAATGCTCAGTATAGAATAATCCATACTGAGGCGATCTCAGCTCTATTAATTTTTTTTTATTCTGGTTAGAAAAATCGTATTTCAGTATTTACAGAAATAAGCAAATGCTTACTTTATTACAATTTGTAAAACAGAACAAATACTGGTTGTAATCAGTTAATAATAATATCCAATGTAATGGGGGGTTTTTTCAGTATCATACTCTGACAATACTAAACCTGTTATCATCTTTGAAATATAGCAGATTGGCCTCACTGAATGCCTTTGTGGCAGGGGATTGCATGTGGAGTTAATTGATGGTCTGAAGTGATGTGTATAATGAAGTCCACTGAGGCTGAGCGCATAGAGAAGACTGACAGCTCTGCTGTGGCTCGGGGTGTGAGTTTACTGTAGGTGTGCTGCTCTAGGCCGAACTCTAATGCTGAGCAGTATGTGGGAACCAGGGGCCTCTTTCTCGCTGGCCGAGCCCCCTGTGTTCCCCTCTCAGTGGGGTACGGGGGCTGCCGTCTCCCGCCTCCTTGGGTGAGAAAACAACCCTCCCAGTCTGGAGAATAAAGGCCATGGGGGCAAACCACTCACAGGGCAAGAGAGGGGGAGAGGTCTCTAAAGGTGGGAACATTTTAAATTAGTCCACTGATGCCTCTTTGCTCTCTGCAGTGCACGCTCACACACTCTAAACACATGGAGCTATACCCACACACATATGGAAACGCATGCACACTGTACGTAAGTGTATAATCAAACGCTGACATTCGCACACACATGCCTGTGTAACAATCCTGTAACACTGTAAGCTGACTACCTTTTATAGCTCCCAGCCTGCAGTCACAGGGTTGAAAACTCCTCTGTCACTTTCACCCAGGGGCTGCCTGTTAATGAGAGATGCTGTGAAACACACGGTTACCTTTTCCTACTGGCTGAAATGGCCCTCCAGAGCCTCTTATTGTGGAGCCTTTCTGTTGGTTTTATGTCCCACTTTAGAAATGCAGTCCTGTACTTGCAATTCTATATGACTGGTAGCTTTATTGTGTTTTTAGTGATAGTTTATTTCTTGGTGATTTTATTCCTGGGAAAGCAGGGCTGTGATGCTAGCTGTGATTTTCATTGCATCACAAAATTAAGTCATGCACTTGATCAGTTACCAGTTAGCACTACAGCAAAATTAGTGATTATTTGTATATTCATAGGAAATCAAAAACACAACACTGTCATCATGTTAGACACCTTTACAATAGCACATAAATCTGTGAAGATCTGCACCAGTAAAAAGCTTGGAAACCAGAAATTACAACTTTCTTTTCTTTTTTTTTTAAATTTATCAACTTTCAACATGCTGCCGAAACCAAACTACAACATTTTTATATGTGGTATATTTTGTCAGATGGACTTCTTTGGGTCTGCGTACAGTGATGTGGTTATTTTAATCATTTGCTTGGCCACTGATGCTGCACTCAGACATAACTCCATCAGGTTTCAAGGCGGGGTTGATGGTGTGTTTTGGGAGGACTACAAACAGAAAGTGGTGGTTTCAAAGCCATCCTGTCAATCTATGCTCCACAGAGGTCCACATCAGCCCCATCCTCCACTATCCGCAAACAGCTAGTGGTGTATGAATCAGTTCACGGAAAATATAACATTACGGTCTGGTGACAAATGAGGAAATTTTACAGATTTCTAGTCTTGCGTTAAAAAGAAAGATGCAACACCTGCGCAACGTGATTTGTGTAGGAAGAGATAGGAAAGTGCACAGATTTGTCCAAACAACAGACCACTCGGCAGGGATAAACTCCTTCACTACGGATTTGTTCATTGCTGGGGGAAAATGCTGAAAAGACTGAGATTTGATATGGCATTTAATGTTGCTCTCCTTGAGGTGCGGTTTGGATTTGAAGTGCCAAAAATAAGAAATAATGAGGAGCAGCTCATCTATCACACAGAACTAATTTATACTTTCCGTTGCCTACCTGTGGGGTGTGCCTTTTTTCCTTCTTTCTTTTCTAACTGTAAGCTACAGAGCTCTAAAAAACATTTTGTTAAAATGCAGTTTGCTTCCCTCTGTGCCCCCTTTCCTGGTTGTTGGATTTTTTTAAACCAGCATAGACTTACCTGTGCTTTGTTTGGCACTGCTGTTTGAATTCCATGACTGTTCAAGCACAGATTGTGGATTGGAATGAAGTGGGTTTGAAGAACTCTCCCTTTGTTACCCACATCCTGTGTTTGACCCCCAGATAATCACAGGCCCCCCTCCCATCTGCACCCTCCTCACCCCCCTAGACAGGGGTGCCTTTGGTGGGAACATAGAAGGAAGTTGCTGGGGGTCACAGACCACTGGGGGGGTGACAGCCTCTACCGGCAGAGTGTTGAGAACCTGCGAACCATGGATGAGCCTTTTTCACATGGCATTAGCCTGTAGGGTCACAGGGAATTTCGCGATGATGGCTGTTATCGCTCACACTGTGGTGTGGGGTGGGTGGCCAAAACACAGCTCACCTGAGAGAGAAGATGAGATAGGGGGAGAGAGGGGGCGGCTTGGATCTAAAAAGTGGACCCTATTGTGTGGCAGTGACCTAGACCTTCATCGGGGGGGGGGAAATGGTCAAAGAGGGAGTAAACATGGTCCTTTCTGTGTTTTGGTAGCATGCATTGCAGAGTTACCCCGTCTTTCTTCTCCCTACCTGTGACTGCTGCAGTCACCACTCTGAGCTCGATCCAGGGCTACAGGAAGACTCATGCCGTCATCGCTGATTGCTTAATGACAGATGCCAAGGGAACAAAGAGGGCTCTGATAACTTCCTCCCCAGTGAAAGGTTTTCAGCAGACTAGTGGAAAGACAGACAGAAAAAGGAAGAGAGAGTGAATGATGCCGAGATGGAAGCATCCTGTCTTCAATTCGTTTTTTTTTTAGTTTGTGTTTTCTTCTTTCCTGTACAGACAAAAACTGCTCGGTAGCTGAATGAACTCTGATAAAAGAAAAGAACGCCACTGATGAATTTCACAGAAAGACTTGGTGTTTGCATAAGGAGCAATTGCTTCTGGTGGAGGGTCTTCACTTCTTAGTACAGTAGGAACATCTGGTGTAAGTTAGCAGTGATTGTAGGTTTTAGAAAGACCACTGTTTGCTTGGTGAGGGAAGAACGGGGGGATTCAGTGGAAAAGAGGTGTTCAAAAGGTTCTAAGAAATTCTGACTGCCCCTCAATGTGCCACCGTCATGAAAGCCTGTCAGTCTACAGTTAGGATTATACAAACAAAATATTTTTCCTTCTAAGCCTTCAAGTGACAGCAAGTTCAAGACCCTATAATTTATTAACTTTATGAAGTCCTGCACAACTGCAAATAAACTGCTCCTTCATAATGTGGCAATATATAAGTCATAAATTATTATGGTCATGTGATTAAGTAAATTTTTTTATTTGCCCTCTTTTGACTGAATTTCCACAAACTATTGTAAAATCCACAGCCTGCTAGTGTTTCCTTCGTTCTGTCGTCTTCGACCTGCTCTGTTCATGGCCCTGTGGTGTTTATGAGGCCTTCAGAAGTGGCTCCTAATGAGTATGTGTAAGAGTTACTGTACGACATTACCCACAGCAACCTCCTCTATTAGCTTTCCCAGGGAGCCAGTGCAGAGGTTTATGCCAGCCCCAGCTGGGAAACGTAATTGTTGAGTTGAGTCTTCTCATTCATCCAGCAACCCAAAATACACACACACACACACGCACACACCAAAAAAGCCTTTTCATCTATTAATAAAGCATTGTAACATAATCAAAAAACTATGTAAACATTTCAGAAACAATGAAGTTGAAATGGTGCAGACATTTAAACTCCAAAACCCTGTATTTTTCTTGGCCCCTTTGAATGTTTAACACTTTACATTTGTTGGGGTTTGATGTGTTTATTAGGTTAAATATTTGGACCCATCCATGAAAAATCATTCGTAATCAGGCAGCAGGTACAATGGCTCCAGTTTGGCTTAATTACAGAGACGTATTAATGTGCTTCATGCCATAGTGAAGTATCGCTTGTACGACCTAAAATAGCTCCATTATTAACGTGCTAACAGTGTTCTCAGATATGCTTTGATACACGCTCGGTGTCATACTCTGAAAGAAAACATTACGAGTGAAGAATATAGGGAGCTGTTTTAAACAAGGCTCAATAAAGTGGGATAGAATTTTGTAACCAACTCAGTGAAATTGGTGGCAGAAGCTGCTCATCAGCCTATTGTGTCTGCTTCGTGAACAGATCATTACTAGATAACAAAAGCATTCCAGTCACTTACGTCGAAATGGGAGGTCTTTAAAACGAAGCTTAATGAGGTGCTTAACCCAGGATGCTGTTTTTGTTTTCTGAAACAAGCACACACGCCTCTACTGCTTACAGAATTACGTGGAACAATATGCCTGGGTTGAGAGCTATTCTCTGGAAAATTTGGGGATTATTTGTGAACACAAATCATCTACAAGTTTGTTGGCAACAGACCTTCAAGCTGGGACAAATTGTCGAGTTCTTCAACTATTAAAGATCTGCCAGCGAGTGTCTGGAAACAGATTAGGCCGACAGAGCAACAAGTCCCCACTTGCAACCCATGTCAGTTGGCAGTTCATCTTCTGAAACACATTGCTTCAAACTCACTCCATGTGAGGTCACTTTGGACTCTATCCCCCAGCCTTTACCCGTTTCTCTTCTCCATCTCCACCTCTCTACCCTTCCACCCCCTTATCGGGGTGCCAGAGCCCCAGAGAGGAGGGGAGAGGGTCACAGGGTCAAAGTCTTTTCCTCTTTGGATCTCGGGGCTTGCTGGGAGAGGCTTGGCGAGAGAATGGTTGCATTAGAGCTGGGGTTGGGGGTCAAGATTTTAATTCTGTTAAAGAACAGCTGGTTTGAGTTTTTCTTCACGTCGCTCTTCCCTCCCTCTCTCCACAAATCCAGGGAGATGAAAAATTTGTTCAGATGGGAACCAGTAAAATAAAAAAGGTTTACGGTCCAAAGCCCTTACCCTTACCCTGCTCTAGCATTAGGGAGGAATGTAATAACGTCAGCATTTGGCCTCAGTTAGACTGACTTAAAACAAGGAAGTCCTTTCTAGGTTTTGGTGTCTTAACAGCCGGATGAAACTTAATTAAAAAGCTCAAAATGTTTGAGGGATTTTTCATACTTGAGACCAGAGGAATTCACTTCCTCGTGTTTCATTTTTCTTGAGAAATTATTTACATAACTTTAAACAGGTGAGACAAACTTTTTTGGCAATTGCGTAACCACTTTAAAATCCTTAGCCTTCCTAAAAAATGAGAAGACAAACTAAATCATGGTGGATCAAGTGCTCTCTGTGTTATTCACACTGGATTAAAACTGACTGAAACAAATTTAGAAGTAACATAACATGAATTTCAAACCTTTTTCCTCTTATCTAGGCTATTGCTGAACCTCCTTATGGCAAAATTGCTAACCACACAACATCAAAGAAAAAAATAGCAGCTGAGCTATTTTGTTTTTCTTTGCCCCACATGTCATATGCTTATCTAGATGCCAAGGCAGGACTCCCTCACCTTTCGCCACCGATGGGGTGGAAAGAGGGCAGGAAGGAGGAGGCACATAAATGGAAAACTAATAACAGATTTTATTTTAGTCTGCTTTCTCCTGCGCTCTTTTACCGGTTGGCTGGCTCACTAGCCCCGGGGCTGTGTTGGTGTGTGGCGCAGCAGCAATCAGAGGTCATAATTTCATTGGCGGTTAGCATCAGGTTCAATTTTTCTAGTAGGTTACATTTACCAAAGTCTGGATTGTGTTACTGTGTACCGGTAGAATCAGTGCAGGGCTGCAGAATCCTGCTACCTTTCCAAGAGGAGCCAGGCACCCCCAAAGGGGAAAAGGAGTGTGCGCATATGTTTGGAGATGGACACACACAGAGACACATACACATGCGCAAACCATTAGTGCCAAGATGCTTGTACTAGCTAGCTCTAGTCCTTCTACTATGTAGAGTGTGTATATATATATATATATATATATGTGTGTGTGTGTTCATCTGTAATCTTATACATAGAGGAGGAAACCTGGCGAGTGTTTACAGTTTCTTGATTGAGGCTTATTGGTTATGTGCAGGAGTGTCCACAGCTTTAGATGTCTTTCAGGCTGATGGTACAGTTTATTTTTATTTAGACCTTTGAGCTGCTGCATAGTAAATCAAAAAGGGGAAGAGCTGATTCAAAAGGAAATGGGGAGGCTGAATGTCTACAGGGAGTACAAAAAATACTGGGAACATACAGGAAGTGTCCCGCATTACACAATTAAGTGATTGTTTTGTGTATTTTAGGAATGTGACCAGGTGCACATCGACGATGTGTCCTCTGACGACAACGGCCAGGATCTAAGGTACAACAGTGATTCATAGTTAGTCAACAAGAACTGCATCATATGCTCGGCCGCCACGAACAGTGAAACAGGCTTGTGCTAACACAATCTTTCTCTGCCCTTATTTTAGCACGTATAACTTCAGCGCTGATGGTTTCCATGCAGCAGCTACCAGTGCCAACCTATGTCTGGCCACAGGCGTACGGGGAGGCGTGGACTGGATGAGAAAGCTGGCCTTCCGCTACAGACGAGTAAAAGAAATTTACACCACCTACAAAAATAACGTTGGAGGTAATCCCCGGCAAGCAGAGCTGCCCTGTACTGATTTTTTGAGTAGAAATGACTTTGCACATGTACGTTCCCTCATTATGTGCATGTTTGTGTGAGGGTACGCTCATGTTGGTGCATGTGTTCTAAAAGCACACATGCCCCCACCACTTGGTCAGGGTAAATTTTGAAAACTTCGCTGGTATTCGGGGGGCCCGTCCAACCTAAACAATGTTACCCTGCGTTTCAGGTCTGCTGGGCCCGGCCAAAAGGGAAGCCTGGTTGCAATTGCGAGCAGAAATTGAAGCCTTGACGGACTCCTGGTTAACACTGGCACTGAAAGCACTAACATTAATCCACTCAAGGTAGGACTCCAGTGAGGAAAATTTTACACAGTCCCATACCGCACATATATAAATTTGTATGTGGTGTGGAGTACCCCATACTCCCACATTATTAGAAAAACAGCAATGCTATGCATTTGTCTTTTTTAGACAGTCTTTATCTGCTCGTTTAGAAAAATACGTGTGCTAGGAGATCCGACTTGAAAAAGGAGCTGAAACGCAATCCTTCATTGCAGGATACTATTTAAAGAACTGATTCATTGCAGTGTCTTTATTTTCTGCACACTGTGTTTTCTTTTGTCCTCCCACAGAGTGATTTTGAATGATGTCACCTCTTTTTCTGCTCCTCTGTCTTTGTCACTGCAGGTCAAACTGTGTGAATATCTTGGTGACCACCACGCAGCTCATCCCTGCCCTGGCTAAGGTCTTGCTCTACGGATTGGGAATTGTCTTTCCTATCGAGAATATTTATAGTGCAACCAAAATAGGTAAAGACTGCATTCTGAAATAGCTTGTTTGTTTTATTTTTTATGTGGCTTTGAGACACAAATGTCTATTTATTTATTTTTACCCCGGTGAGGTAAAAACAGTTACAACATACATGCTGCTAAAGTGACAGGACTGAGGCACGGACGGGGTGGGAGATTGAGTCACCGGAGAGTGTTGATGTTCTTGTGTGAAGGAGTAGTCCCAATCAGCCTAGGATTATTTTCTTGGAGCTGGGCCTGTGCTGGGCCTCTTCAGGCCTCTCCTGCTCAATCTCTGCATATGAAACCACTTCTGCACATTTATGTCATTCCAGCGCAACAGGGCCCCGTCCTCTTCCTCCTCCTCCTCCTGCTTTTACCTCCTCACTTTCCCCGTTTTCTTTCTTTCTTTCTTTTTTACTGTTTTAAATGCAAAATAAACATCAAGTTTCACTCTTGCATCAATATCTGACCCATCAGCTAAGAGTTCAGGGAGAGAAAGAGACACAGTGGTCTTCAAAACCAGACCCTGTAGCAGGACTGATTTGCCTGTTTGTTCTAGATTTAAAGAAGAGAGGGGCAAAGTTAATGCTTTTAAGATTGTCTTTATCTGGGGGACAATCTTATCACATCTCCTTCCTGAACCCACTGTTTACAGTCTTCCCTTCTTTGTAAATTTGGTGTTTTAAAGAGGCTCTTGTCACCCTCGGTTCCTAAATCAACTTTGAGCGTGTGTGTGCCTGCATATCTTTTTTGCATCCACGTAATGCTTTACTAAGAAACTGCCCTCAACTTCTTCACAGGAAAGGAGAGCTGCTTTGAGAGAGTAATTCAACGGTTCGGGAGGAAAGTTGTTTACATTGTTGTTGGAGATGGGGTAGAAGAGGAGCAAGGCTCAAAAAAGGTAAGAGGTTTTAAAATAATAGATAAAGTAAACAACATGCACACTTGTATGTCTTTAGGGTATATTTACATGGTGAAAACAACCATGAGAACCACATAAAGTGTGGAGCAAAGAACTCGTGAGTAGTTTTCATAAGGTCAGGAGTTCATTGTGAGGGAACACCGAACATACCTGCCATACTTTTCCAAAGAAAGGAATCAGCGCTCCGGCTTTCCTTCTCAAGAGTCTTTGCTTTGCTTTCATTTGTTTATCCTCTTATACGGCATCCAAGCACAAGAGAGAAAGTCTGTAGTGTGTAATCAGCCCTCTTCCTCCACCATCTCAGGTTTACAGAGCAGGGGAGGGGAGAGATGGCATAATTATATATTCCTGCCCTGTGCTCTGAGCAGTGTGAATGCTGTATGTGTAACGCTAGACAAGCCCTTTCAGGCATGTTGAAGGCGCATCGTAAATAGAGCGCACATAAAGGCGACTTAAATCATTGTTGATGAAATTAGAATATTTACTGCAATGACAAGCCTGTTAGCACGAGATGGATCAAGGAGGACTCGCTGCCGACCTCCGCCCACGCTCTTGCAGGAAGCATGACAGTATCTGTTCAGATGAATTTGATGTCTCGCTGTTTTTTTTTCTCTTCCCCATTTTTTATGTTACTTGTTGGCTCTTGCTCCAGATCTTGTGCATTCAGCATTCCTGTCAGGTTTGGATGTAAAGCAAATGCTGCATGTGAGACTCACACAGCAAACACGCTCTTTAGCAAATGAATCAGCGGCTCAGGAGAATACTTCCCTGACAGTTATGATGAGCTGCCGTGTCACGCTGAAGACATTGAGTTTCCCTTTGAAAGTCCTCCAGCTCCTTCTTCACCTGTTTCTCCGTAAACAGAGCAGAAGCACGAGGACCGACGCAGAGCGATTAGGCAGCTATTAGAGAGAAGTAAGAGCCTTTACCCTGGATAAAAGCGTAAAGCAATAGCTCTGTGTTATGAAAAGCGAACACGCCCTGGGAATGTGGTCTTGAGGGATGATTGTGGAAAAAGATGCAAATATTTTTACTCAGCTTTGAGTTGTTGGAGAGTGACATTGATGGAAGAATAAGGTGTTTTTTTCCCCTCCATTTGAGTGGTGCAAGTCCCGCGACATGCCATGCAGTAAAAGGTTTCTGTGTCAACATCAGAGAGAAGGTGAAATAACACAACAATTTCACCCGTCAGGAGGCGCATATCAGACGTGACACATCGTGGAACTACAAAAGCAAAAGTCTGAAACTTCTCCCGGTTCTCATTCCTTCACTTACAAAAAAAAAAGAAAGAAAGAAAAAATTCACAATCCCTGTCTTCAGTTATTGCCTTCGCTTGGGAGAGACAGCAGAGATAACATCGCCTGCTTTTAAACTTAAAAGCAAAGACAATTTACAAAACAAAAAGCAAAAGAGCTTTTTAAGGGTCAGTGCAGGCTCTCCTAAGCGGAACATACGCCTGGGAGAGGCCATACCTTTGATAAGGGGAGGGTAATGGGCTCCACACACTGAGGAGCTGAGGACTCTACCTGACAAGCTCCTTTCATTCTCTACGACTCAGGTTTCTCCCCCCATCCTTTGCCTGGGAACAACAGCTCATTTGCACTGTCCTAAACACACACTGGCAGGCAGGAGGTTCATTCAAAAGACACTGTGGGGAGTTCATTTCTGTTCAAGTTAAAGACAGTCAGTGCTTTAGTCTGGTGGTATAAAACTCCACTTTGATGCAGCAAAGAAATTAGTTACACGTACAGATGTACAATTTGGCTGCACGGACTTATGCACAAGGGAGCAAGAGGAGTAGGTGGGGTGCGTTAATGATATGATTGCTTTTCCTGGTGAGTGGACCAGGCTTGCTTCATTCACTAAACATATTACCGCAGTATAAAGAATAAGAAATCAGTTTAGAAGGCCTGCAAGTGTTGGTCTGTCCAATTCTAACAGTGTGTGTTCTATGTTAAAGGCTGACTAAAAAGTATATATTTTGTCCATAACATATTCCAAAATGAATTGATATGATTTGCAATCATGAAAAGAAACAAATGCACTCATCTTTTAATAAATAACTAAAAGGATTGATAAATATTTTGCTCATTAACATCTAGCAATTTTACCCTTTTATACTCTAAGGTGCATTTTCCTGATTGGAATAGAAGTCATTTTTATTCATGTAAATGGCTAAAAAGATAATTTTAAAAAACTGATTAATTCGTTTTTTAATTAGTTTGAGAATTTTGAGTTTTGTGTTTAATAAAACTAAAAGGATGCTTTTTCTTCCACCCACAGCACAACATGCCCTTCTGGAGGATCTCCAGCCATTCAGACCTCATGGCCCTCCACCATGCTCTAGACCTGGAGTACTTGTAGCACCACACCACAAACGTGTACCCCCTGCTCCGCTTCGGCACACCACACAACCTTTCACCTTCGCCCTCCAGCCCCATCCCACGCTTGCCACGGACCCCACAGCTCAGAAAAAAAAAGACAAAAACCCCCCAAAAAAACAGCCGTGTTGCTGTGCTGCCTGGCGTCTGTCTGTCACTACATAGGAAGAAAAGAAGAGGAGAACGGAAAAAAGAAGACTGAGCACACGGTTAACGTGCTGACATACGGTCACACATCGTCTTAACCCTAAACTCTTTCCTTCTTTCTTTTTTCCGGCGAAGTGAAGGAGAGAGAGAGAAAGAGGGAGCGAGGTGAATTTACGGCGCTGCAGCTGCTTGCCCTGGTTACTGTGAATTGGCCGCTTTCTGAAGCTGTCAAAGTGTTTTACGGCCCCCTGTTTGTGCCGGGACTCTGTCAGGGTTCACACCTGTGAGGAGAGCAGAGCTACTGATGGCCTCGCCTCGCTTCGCCTCACTTCGCCCCAGAACTCAGTTACAGCGAAGTGCAGGGCCCACAGCTACTGGTGGTGACTTTTCTGCGTCCCTCTGGCTCGCCCCACGTCTGCTCTTCGCCTCCGCTTTATTTCTGTTCCTCTGTTCACCCACTTCGTAGCCTCCCCTTCGCTGTGGGGCAGAAAGACAAAGCAAGTGCTCCTCTGTAATGCGTCGGCCTGGGAGCTTTGTGCTTCTTATTTATGAACAGACACTTTGTGAGTGGCACCGCGCCACCGAGAAGGTACCTCGATGATAAAAGACTCGTGCCTTTTACAAAGTACTATTGATTTCCACCGCAGCGAGAGGAAGACTTTTATGGAAGAGAGAAGAAAAGGGGGTTTTCTAATAATTTAAGAAAATTACAAAAAACTTTATTTACAATGCTGAGACAATCATGTACAGAGGAAATCTTTTTGTGTGTGTGTGTGTGTGTGTGTGTGTGTCTAAGTTTGTAATCACTGGACTATTCCTTCCTATATTCATTTTAGGTACATGCTCTTGAAAGATGGCAATGCTTTTTCATTGAAGTTTAAAAAAAAGGCATCCCATCGCGCATAAGCTTGTGCGAGGACGCCTGAAAGTGTTGATGTGTTAAAGTTACGTTCGATAAACAAAATATGTAGATATTGGGATTTTGTGATAAATTGTTTTGTCAAGACCAAAAGCATGGATGTCAAGTGTCAAGGACCTTTCTTTTCACTCTGTGATGTTTTCTCGTCCTTACAGGAAACTTCAGTCACACACTTTATATAGAACAACAGGTCTCTTCTTACTATACGTCCTTCTCGGACACATATATCAAAGGGAAAATATACATTGTTTTTTTTCTTTAGTTATGCAGGAAGGTAGCTCACAACCTTGCGTCCTTATGGCATTTCACCAGCTTGCAGCCCTGACCCCATATATTCAAAGGCAAACACAATTCTGACGAGGGTTTTGGATACGGCAGACGGGAATTTCTGAGAGCCATTTTAATGTCAAATTTGAATAAATCTGATGTTTGAAAAAAACAAACAAAAAAGCAGGCTTGAATAGGTTTTATTATCTTTTATACAAGCACTATAACAACTCTTGTACAGCAAGCGTAATTTTGTATACTGTAGTGTTTTTATTTCGACTTTGAGAATACATTCTGTGTCCCTCTTTGAAGCAGCTGAAGTACACGAAGCCCTTTTTCGTAGCGCTTCTGCATCTGCGGACGGGGAAACCATAATTAGCATTGAGAGAAAAGCCACTAACTTCGAGAGGTTTGTGAACATACAGGACATGTGCTATCGACTGTGAATTTCTTAAACAGAAACCGACTCGTTCTGTTTCTAATTTCTTTCCCTCCTTTGCACATGATCACTGTTGTCCTTTTACATTTCAATTCAAATCCTTCTCTCTTCTGACGTACCCCCCCCCCCCCCCCCCCCCCCCCCCCCCCCCCCCCCCCCCCCCCCCCCCCCCCGAGGAAATGTCAAACATCAGTCCCATATTGCTGCTAGATCAAGGTAATGGTAGGTAAATAGAGGAAATGTTTTATAGATTCATACAGCACGCTTTTTTTTTATTATGTTGCAATCATAAATGCAAACTGGAAATACTTTACACTACATGGGCCTCATTGTGGAAAAAAAACGCAAAAGATTGTCGTGTCTGCAAATTATGTGTACAGATGTTTTTGACATTATTATTTGATTGTGTTTAAATTAATAAAACTGATTTGTGAACTGTTACACGTTGCTGACATTTTGTCCCCTTTTCTTTAAAACTACAACATAAAATTTAACATTTTTGTTTTTTTGAAGAGCAACATTATTGCCCCCCACAACCACCATGACTAACCACCAGTGTCCAGATTGACACAGATGCCATAGGGTTCAGACACTAATCCTACCAGGAAGTAAACAGAAACTGGAGCTCTTACAAGTCTAGACCAAACAACAGCCCATACCCTTTACACACACATGCTAATCACATCCCTTTATTAATCTTCCCAATGACTACAACAATAACTTTTTTTTTTTTACACGTCAAAGCCACATATGAATTTAGACATGTCTTTGTGACTGTTAGAGTATAACATAACATTAGGATTCTCTAAATGCCTGCGTCTTAAGTGTCTCTTAAAGCATTCTTTACGCTGTTTTTGATTGCATCTCTGTTAAAGGCACAGTTCAACCCCAAATCCAAGTTATATATTTAAACCTGTATAAACTGTATAAACTGTCTTACTTGCATGCTTTGTTATGTTATTAGCACCTTAATGTGGGAACTATTGTCTGTATTCTGTGTACAATCCACTGTAGTGAAGGAGGATAGCAGAGGATTGGTGTGACAGAAGAGGATGCCAGAGATAAAATAGATGGATGCAGATGATCTGCTGTAGTTCTATCCTAATAGTCTAACGGAGCCTCCATGCATAATTTACGCTTATCAAACCACTCCAATTCAAAGAGAGCTGAGTTAGTTTAAATAACATATGAAAAATATTTATGAGCCTCATTTTATGAGGTGGTCACAGCTAAGACAGTCCAGTGTGTTACACTAGCCTGGACAAGGAAGAAAGTGTCTGGCCTCCAAAACCACGGTGGGAAAATTAAGCATGCATGGAATTTTATTTAGAGCCACATGGCCCGTTTAATATCCAGATCAATTATGTCTTCAGATGGAGAGGGAGTGATGGCCAGGGAGAGGCATGTGCGTCTGCCAGGCTGGACAAAGCAAGTCGGGGCGCTGCCATCGGAATGCACCAGCACAATGACCTCTAATGTGCTTTTCCCACTTCTGAACAGCTGAAAGACTAAGTGGTGTCTGAGGTCCCGACTGGATTTCTCTTTCGAGGAGCGGAGCGCTGCTCTCTCACAGAATAGAGGTCTGTTCTCTTTGATAAGTTTTCCCGATGTTCAGAGACCTGGCAGAAATAGTCAGACACAACCAGACCAGACATTTTGAGAAAGAAAAAGTGGGTGTCGAGAGTGTCGGCCAGCCATTCTGGCTGCTCGGACAAAACAGACGGGAATAAAAACAAGAGCCAGATTGTGTCTGTTTGGCTCGTGTCACTCATCTGGTTTAAAGTCCTCTATCAGGTCTTTAATGTCTGGCGAGTTCTACCAACCTTTGCAGGGCGATGTATGGCCCGGCTGTTACGTGTAGGTTTCACAGTACTTTAATCAGTCTTAACAGTAACCACGTAATTCTGAAGAGCCCTGATCTTCACTAAACTCCCACCCACATCCTTGTAGAAATAAAAGGCACCACTACCTTGCAGATCCCATGTTGGGCATTCCTCTCCGGGACGTCCCAGCAAAGTGCCCGCCCTCCATAAAACTGTACTGCAATAATAAACAACATCATTGGTGATTTACGACCTTGCCCAGACAGTGATTTCATGCAGATTTTCATAGAGGGGGGCCTCTGACGGTGCATCACAATTGAACTAATATTGTATTACATGTATATCAAACTCCCCTCCAAAAAACCTGATCCACATCCACATGAGCCACATCTCTTTTACGAGCAGGAAGCCTATTAATAGTCCTGTGTTCTCTTGGTGGCTAGTGTGTCTCAACTTTAGGGGAATTTGTGTCTGTAGCGAGCAGATGTCCAAAGGCTGAGACAATAAGAAAGAGGGGGGAACTGGAGACATTTTGACACAAAGCTTTTACCCTCAGCAGTGCTGTGAGGAGTTTCTGCTCAATCTAAGAAGCAGAAGCTCATGCTGTTGGGACATTAAATCAAGCTTTTCTTCATTCTTGGTTTGCCTGATGCTATTTGTCTTGGGGCTGGATATCAAACCCACTGACACTGATTACAATGCCTACATGAGTGCTTTCAAGATAGGGAAAAGCTTCCAACTCATTTTCCTCAAGTGCATGGCTCTGTTAGCACTGGCAGGCAGCGAGAGTGGCAAACCTGTTGTCATGCTGTGGTGGGCAATGGTGCTAAACTAGGCCCTTTTGTTTACTGTTTGTTTATTTCTCAGTTACTGGGATTTGACAGACAGAGTAGGACAAGGACAGCTGGCAATCAGGAAGCTGTGGATGCCAGGGATCTCGGCCAGGAGTGTCAATGCCGAAGGGGCCGGGTGTCCACAGCTATGCCTGTCCAATGCAGACGAGGCATTCTCAAGTAAATCAAGACTGTGACACGCCATTAGTGTATGTTGGTGGAGGGTCTGATTGGGCCAAAATACTTTGGTCATGGGTGTAAATGAACTTGCTGAGTGGATTGTGCCGCATAGAGGTCAGCCACGGTTAATTTGCGTACACACATTCAGACGCCTGCTAGATGAGCCATGTATTGTATTAGGATTTTCCAGCTTCTAGTGTTGCAAATTGTGTGAAATCTTACCAGAAGTGGTTGTTTTGATAGAGCCCAGACTGTTAATAAAGCATTGAGGTACAGTGGTAGTCACTGTGGATGGAGCCTCTCATCGTGCGTCCCACATCGAGGTCGGAAGCATACTCGCTTGCGGACACGGAAAGCTGTGGACGCAATGGATAAGAAGTCTTTCCTGTTATATTTTGTTGGAGTACACTTGGAGTACAGCTGAAGGACAAATGCATGGTTCCAGTGATCATAAAAGAATGACGTAAACAGATGTGCAATCGTTGCCCCACTCAGACTTGAGCTGACTCGCATAGTTGGACATAACTCAGCAGTGGTTGCTGCAGCTTATGTTTAATTAATATGACACACAGCAGTGTGGCACTGCTGTTTCTGGGTAGTCGGCTTTTCTTTGTTGAATTTGGATGTTTTCCCTGTGCCTGCATGGGTTTTCTCTGGATAAAGCATGCATGTTAGGTCAGTGGGTGATTCTAAATTGATCCTATGTGTGAACGTGAGCATGAATGGTTGGGACAGTTGGGATAGGCAACAGTCCCCCTGAGATCCTGAATTGAATAAGCTGCTGAGAAAAGAGATGGATGAAGTAGAAACATGTTATAATGTAGCTTGATGTCCGTTTAGTAGCCTAAGCCCTAACTCACTGCTGTGTATCACCTACAAAAATACTTCTACAACAACTGATGTAGTTTGGCAGGTATTGAAACTCCTTCTCTAAGCAAATTCAGCAGCACCAGACATACTTTCAAATAACCTCACACCACAGCTCATAACCTCTGCGAGGTTGCAGTGTTTGAGTAGCTATGAGAGCAAGCAGCGTTGCCAGGCCCAGAGTTGGACCTGTGCTCACTTTCTGCCCAACCACACGTCACCTCCACCTGCATCTGTGGTCAAACACACACACACACTCCCTAGTATTTACTGGGCCCACTGCACCATTCCATTTGAAGGTGAGTGCCACAATTTTATATGGCCCGGCTAAAGCCACCCCCACAACCGTGAGCGTGCTTGCGTGTAAGTGTGCAAGTGCAACACTTCTAAGCTAACTCAAGAGCTATGAGCTACCAGGTCCCTGAGGGTTTATTTAACAGCCCTTCTAGACCTCCCTGTTTGCTGTCTGTGTGAACATGTGTAGCATATTTACGTGAATGTGCATTTGTGTGAGTTTTTGTAGCGTTAAGTGTGTGTTTGCACGGACCTCCCTCGCGGGTGTTAATTGGGCCAGCTCCCTCCAGTTAGGTCTCGGACTGAGGCCAAGCTCCCTCTCGTCTGGCAGGAGAAACAGCCTCTGAGCCATTTTAATAAACTCGATGTCATCTGTTAATAAAACAGCCTCGAGTCCCACCTTGGCTTGTTTTTGCTCGATAAGTCATGGGTGATGTTTCCGTTCTCCCCACATATTTCTTCTTTAAGAAGAAATGAAGGAAAGGTGAAACCTGTTCATTTTATTTTATGTCCTCAAACACTAAACACAGCAAAGGTAACTAGTTTTCTCTGGTTTTCCGTGTGTGTGTGTGTGTGTGTCTTTATTCAAAGAGTGATTTGTTCTGGATCTTTAAGGGGTCAGTTATAGTTAAATGTACCCTGAAACGTGTTAGGTGTGCAAATAAAATCCACTGTATTCACTACAACAAACTTAAAAAATAAGGGTGTTTTACAGTAAAATACTGTTGTTTGAGAATACAGTTGAATACTGTTAACCAAATGGTAATAATGATAATAATGTATTAACAACAAGCTACTGTACAATCATGTTATATATGAATTTAAATCATGTTGCATCAGGGCAGACTCAGGTAGCCATAAAATATTGTAGTAACCTAAAGAAACGGATTATGAACAGCCCAAAGAACCATGGAGTTTCGGTTTCAGTTGTTTGGACAACAAACAGTTTTAACTTTTATCTAGCAATGGGTAGCATGATGAGCATGAATTAAATACACTATGCAGAACTTGAGGTTGTGCAGCACATATGGTAAGGACAACTGTTCCTAAGACTGGCATCTTCTCATAGTTTAATAAACTGCATTTAGAGTACATTCATAATGGGAAATAATACTCTGTTTTGGGAGACAGAT